AAAGTGGATGAGTACCATCCTCAGAGGTCTGTTGAGAGGATTAAGTGCAATAAAACACACATTCCATATAAAGCCTGAGATATATTCAAGCATCTCTTAAAATAAGATAGGTACTAAGAATTTTATTCCCATTGTAATATGCAAATAGCAAATTAGACAAAATCATTAGTGTCTTTAAAAAATTAGAAATTCTTGTTTGGTAGTTCTTTTATTACAATGTTAAAAAGAATGTATTGTATGCTAGCACTGTGCTTTGTTTTAAGAGCCATCTATTTATTAAGATTGATATTTCAGCAAAAAACCAAACAAACCCACAAATGAACCTTTCAACTAATCAAAAACATTGATACCTATCATTATTGTTCCTGGGTGTTTCTATATAGCGGCTGTCAGCCTTTTCTAGAGTATATCAAAGTATCAGTCACTTGGCCTAATACAATCAAACAAGAAAGCCTTGTTACTGTGAGGGCCAACATGCTTTTTAAAAAGCTTAGTTCTGACGTCATTTAAAAATGCTTGTGAAACTCCTCCTAAATTGAACATCTATCAGTAGTCTCTTATGCACACACAATATTAGTTTAAGATTAACTATGCCTTTTAAACATTTTGAGAGATTGTGAGCTCCAATAAGCAAATAATAGAAAAATGTGTGAAAGATTCCTGGGGCAGTAGTTTTTCTTTTCTCCACAGCAGTTAAGATGCCAAGAAGCTGGGGCTGGAGATGTGGCTCAAGCGGTAGCGTGCTCGCCTGGCATGCGTACGGCCCAGGTTCGATCCTCAGCACCACATACAAAGAAAGATGTGTGTCCACCAAAAGATAATTCTCTCTCTCTCCCCCCCCCCCCAAAAAAAAAGAAAAAAGAAATTCCAGGAAGCTAAATTTTATTGGGTTACCTGTTATATTGTTTCTTATTTCATAGAGTGATCTATGTTAAATGTCCTATATCTAATGGCATTTCACACAACACATTAACTCAGAAAAATTTTGCCATTGAAAACAATGGGTTTTAAAAATCAAATTGGCATCTGGAGACTTTTGAGAAACAAACAGGAAGGCCATCAGGAGAAGGACAAAGACTCCAGAGAAGCCTTATTAGGAGATGAGGAGTGGTCTATTGCCAATATTTGAAAAACACTTTCAGAACATTTAATTAGCGTAATTACATGGTGCACTTACAGCTTGTTAATGCCCTTTGACAGAGATATGTTACCCTGGCCTTGAAAGCTGGGTGGCCATAGAACCTTGAGATGAACTTGGATAACTTCCAGGAGTTCCYATTAATGCTGTACATTTTGCTACTAGGTACAATATGTACAAAGTACATGTTGGTTAAAAACGTGATGTCTTTCTTTAACACTCTAATTTTTCTGCTTGGTGCATTTAGCTAACATAATGCATTCCTGTGATCATTAGTAGAATCACACTGACATAAAAGAAAATTATCATCCCCCACCACTCATGATAGTTAAGATTGTCATGAATTATCTTCAAACCCAGTACCATTCACTTATCCTTTAGAACTAATGCTTCCAATCTGCCAATACATGCTGTTTAATGACCACTCCAATTTAACTTTCCACTCACTAGCAGGAAGCATGTGATACAGTTTTTCACCAAAACCACACTAACTGTATTACACTGTGAGGCAACTCTCATCTATTTTCAAAATGCCAGGAACTCTTTATATTGATGTTTCAGATTTAATGCAGTAATCTCATGGAAAGAGAAATCTCTGGAACACAGGAACATGTGAACTCTTGTTACTAAGTTTTATTTATAAAATACTGCAGGAGTACTAGCTTTTAAGAAAACTTCAGTATCAAGAAAATATGAAGAACTGTTTTTATTTTAGGAATTCAAACTAGTATGCATTCTTTCAAGGTTTTTGACTTAGAAGGTTTTAATTGCAATAAAAATTTTACTGAGTTAAATTTTTACAAACACCCCAATCTCACAAGAACATAATAAAAGTTAGTTTTAAGCCTGAGGTTCAAAGTTGAATTGATGGAAAAATACATTTTCTCCTTTCTTATTTAATAATTAAAGCATCCTGAATACACCCATACAGTAAGTGCATGTGAGCTTTTCTTTTGAAATTTGGCAATGAATTTGTGCATACTTTTTTCTTTTGGGGGAGAGGACAGTGAGGATATTCTACCAAATAATTGCTGTTCCACTGGTTAAAATACTACATGTAATTRCCCTCAAAGAAATGTGGATGAGTTGTAATTGACAACATATTTAAGTGATTTACATATATACTCTTCTACATAAATGAGTATAAAATCCAGTAAGATTAATATATATGTAGCATATTTCTTTTGCAAATAGAACATACACTTTTTGAAAAAATAAAAACATCAATGTAGACTAACCTTTATTAAGTCACAGCTAAATAAATGAACAAAAGCATCCTTATTATTAATGGCCTAGTAGAGTAACTATCCCTTGGGGAGAGGTATACAAATGCAACTTTCTAAGTTCACAGTTGTAACTACCACAAAAGAAGTAATCGGGATGTGTGAATTGTATGTACAGATGCAGGCTAGACAGATCCAAAGAAAACAGGCTAATAATGAGTGCATTGGCATTTAAAGACAGTAAATTAGTAATGTTAAACAAATCTAAAAAAACTACCTTGTACTAGGGATGACCCTAGATGGAATTTAAGGCAATATTAACAGAAATCAGTATTGAAAATCAGTATCAAAAATGATTCTTTTGATGGCAAAGATGAATGAAAACTTCCAAATTCTAGTCTATAAGATAATGATCCATAATAAAATTACTTTTACTACAGAGAATACAAACCCTTTGGGTACTATTTACTTGTTAACATTGTAGTATAGTTTTGAGAACTGCTTCAAGAGATAGAGATGGGACTAGTAAGCAGAGTGGTCATTGCTGCCTTTCTTCATTTATTCTTCATCTTTTTTTTTTTTTTTAATTAATTAGCAAAATGGCCTGACCCTAGTTAGGTTGTTCACTAAGAAAAATATATTACACAATACTGTAGTTTCAGGTAAAACAAGACTGAAAATTSTATTTATAACATTCCTTTCCAGCAAATAAAATTTTGTAAATTCCTGAAAAATGTTAGCAAATACAATTATGTGGAATTTTTTTCTCAGAGGATTGATAAATTTAATTTCAGTATTTAGTGTCTACTTCACTGTATCCACTTTTAAGTATATGAGTATATACTTAAAATTCTTCCTTACTCTTTTAAAATTYAATAGGCATGTCCAAGTATGCCCACATTTTTWWAAAAAAAGTGATTTCTAACTTGGTAGAAGCATTTGAGAGAACCACTAAGCTTTAGAAGAATTTGGAATAAATGCTCATGATATAAATAGGAAAAATCTATTTGTTGAGATTCAATTATATGATTTTTGAACTTGGAGCAAAACCTTTCAATGATAAGAAATACTGTCATTCACAGCTGTCTATAGAGATACTAATAATCCTCAAACTGTAAAAGTATGTTTTAGGAATTTCTCAATATACTGCTGAAAAATCAATTTAAGAAAAAAAATTTATGATGCCCAAATGTGATGGTAGAAATCCCAAACCTTCCTTTATTTATGTATTTATTTTTAGTTTGGGTGCAAGCAACAACAAAAAAATACTTCTAGTATATTTCCCTATTGAAAAGTTATCTGCCAGATTTTGTGCATATGTAATCCTTTAACATGAAGAATGAACAGGCAACTTAATGGTATTCTTTTACATATCCATGGATTACCTAAACTATGAAGTCACCTCAACCAAGGGGAGGAAGGAGTGGGAAAGGATCAATGTGTTAAAGCCAATTATGTATCATATATAAAAGTGCACATTAACTACTTGAAAAAATTCACATTTATTTACTGTCAAACCGTGTTAAACTTTACACTGGATATTAGTGATGGGCTCATTATTAACAGGTTTACACAAAGGGATGAAAAGAAAAGCAGAATTTTGCTGAAACAATTTACATTTCATTAGAACTTTATCATAAAATAAATTAATTACTAAATATAGGCAGAAGGGATATGGAAGAGTAATATTTGTTTTATTTTCTTTTTTTAAAAAAAGAATAGGCACCTTTTGTTCACTAGAAAGTTTGTGAGAAGTGCCCAGTGCCCTCTTTGCCCTCTGTTCAAGAATAAACAGAAGGATGACACACAATCTTTTCTAGATTTCACCACATTTGTGCAAGGCATGGCAGAACTGGCTTTGAAGCGTTTTCTCCCCATAAAACACTTTGTTCTTTTGGCAATAAGAAATTTAAATGTAAGAATAAAGACTAACTGGTCAAAGCAGAACACTGTATACAGTGGAAAATAAGTGAAAACGGGTAGAACTTACCATGACAAAGTGTAAGAAAAAACATTTCATAACATATGTGCAACCAAGAGCTTTTCACAATATTTTCTTCAAACTCTTTKAAAATTATTTTAATGACAATTATATTTCAGTTGGACACAAATGTATTTATTTTTACCCTAGCAATAGAACAAAATATAATTTCTTTAGCCATTTTTTTCATGAGAATAGTTCATTGTACAGTTGAGGAAACATATGAAATAAGGCCTGTGGCTTGATTGCTAGTGGTTAAACATGTTTTCAATCTTTGCCTTAATGTAAAAGATTTGCAGTGAACTGCAAACTGACGCAGAATATCTCTCCTGCTTTTCCAAGTCTTGTCAGGAACAGTAAGGTACAGTAAATTTGTCCCACAGGATTTTAAAGCCTACGTCTTGTATATAATACAATGCAGGCCTACAAAAATGGTGCAGCCATATTTACAAATTAAGTTCACAAACTGCTGCAGTAAAATGGCTGGAAAGTTTTGTTTTGCTTGTTTCACAATTTCTCTAAACAGCAGCAGAATCTTAAAATACCTGGTTGGCATCTCTTTTCTTTGTAACAAATAATTCATTTTAGTATACTCTGTGTATATACAAAGTTTTTGTATGTTTTATAAAAATTCACAGAACTGCAAGGTTCAGTCATCTTTTTTTTTTTTTTTTTTTTTTTACACCGGAGAACCACAGGTCAACAGAGTCATCTCTTCAAGCAGACTTGGAGGGAGAGCTGCACAGGGCCAAAGGAGTCTTTATTTTACTTATTAATACTTGCATGTGGCCCTTGGAATTCCTTAGCTGTACTATTAAAGACTTGTTACCAGTTGCATCTGTCCTTCTCTAACATCCCCTTCCGGGATACACCCTTCTTTGTTAATGGGGATTATATAACCATCGCTATTGCCCCTGCTGATCTGGTAGCACATCTGAAGCTGCCGTCCAGCTCCGAGATTTGGCATGCTTTTATAGTAAATGTCCTCGTTCTCACTCCTCCTGGAGGGAGAGAGGTCTTCTTCCATGTCGGGGCTGCTCTCCTGATAGGGTGAGTCTCTAAGGTTGGGCATGCTTGTGTACAGAGAGTCTCTGTTGGGGGACTGCAGGTGATCCTCCGCCTCCGCGGTCAGCTGCGAGACATAGCTGTCAGTTCCCTCGGGTTTCGCTTTCTTCTGGGGTTGGTAGAGAAGGGAGTGAGTCCGCTGAGGAATAAGTGGGGCCTCGAGTTCTTTGTGATGGAGCTCTAGCCCTGGGTTGTCGCCGTGCATTAAAGATGAAGCATCTGCCACGATAGCATCATCTTCGCTGCTGCTGCCTCCGATCACTGGCTTGACCGGGAGTGTGAGCTCGAGGTTGTGAGTCTTGCTGCTGCCCCGAAGATTGTTGTGCACTAATTCTGAAATGATCATTTTTTCAAAAGCGGTATCATTCAGACTTAGTCCACAGTCCACAACTTGCACACTGTCGTTGTAGTCCCCCTTGCGCAGTGAGTAGCTGTTGTTGAAATTACCATTTAGCGGTAGAGTATCCATGGCACTTGTATCCCTGGCATTGTTCAGTGAATGTCCTGGAACAGAAAAGGGGGAGTTTACCATTACTTCCTCTGTTTCTTTCTGAAGAAACTTTATTTCTTTTGTACAAAACGTTTTAATGTCGTTCAGGACAAAGTTGTATTTGAAAGCCAGCACTTAAAAAGTGTCACGCTTTCCTGCATTCCCAACTATAAACAGTTGCAACCCCTTAGATAACAGGAAAAAGTGTTAAAAAAAAATTGATAYTGTTTTCCAGGGAGGGAAATGGCATACAGAATATTACTTTATCAATTTTGGAGAGACGGTAGTTATTCAATGATTTTTTKGGTCAAATCTCTGACACTCTTATGAAAAAGACTTCACTCCATGCCCTTGCATAGTTAATGCAAAGCAATTTATTAGTGACATTTACATTTTCAGTACAAGACTATGGTTTATAAAAATAAAATTAACAGAATTTGTCCTAAACAACACTAAATTAAAAAGGAATAAGTCACATACAAAACCGAAAGGCAAATGTACAACATAAACCCACATAATTGGCAAGCAACTTTTTAAAACAACATTCTAACATTTCCTTTGTCTGAAGATGAAATTTAAAAAAAAGAATGAAAAAAATGGACAGATACAAAGAAATCATGTTAAACAGAGACAGCCATCTCTCATACTGACTGGACCGAGGGCCCACAAGCACCATCCAACAACACGATAGACGGCAGGTGGAATGACTCACTTTGGACAACTCACATCATGTCTGTCTGCTCAGGCTATCTGGCCTAAGAGTAGCTGATATATAAAAGAAAGTAAAATGATTTATTGTAACATGATGAAGAATTTCTAAGCTTCTCAGCAACTTAGTCAGAGCAAGGGTTCAACAAATTAGATTACCAGCAATAGCAGTCTTTACATTTAGTATTTATTTTAATTTATTTTGGTACTAATAATCTAATAGTAATGGCCCCAGGCTTCTAATGGTCAAAGTTTGCCTGCAGCCCTGCAGTCTGCATCAGTCACAGTGACAGTACCGAATGAACCAGCAGAGTCTACTGTACAAGATCAGCCCATAAGCACCATGGGCATGGAGGTCAAACGCAGAAATGTTAGAGATTTCTTAAGTATGGGTCACAGAAATTAAACCGAGAATAGATATTAACTATGGAATGGGAGAAGGGTGTCAGCCTTGGCTAATATATATTTATTTCTAACGGAATGAAAGATTGGATAATCTGCTTGAGATATGGAAGGAAGTTTAGGAGGAAAAAAAACATGGTAACATGCTCTATTCTGATGAATCAGTTGTATTTTCTACAGACACATAAACATGTAAACTAGGACATCACAGTGCTTCTCAAGCAAATGGGAAAATAAAAGAGAAAATTAAATGATCTACACAATGGAAGGTTGAGCTATTCATTCTCAAAATCCTGGAAGGAAATTAAAAAAAAAAAAATCACTTGTCTACAGATAGATCTGTTTAAAAAAAAAAAAAAGAATGAAATGATGTTATTGAAATGAAACTGACCACTGTGAGGCTGCTGCATTGTATGCAAGGCTTGGAGGAGTTTAGGAAAAAATTTTAATTCTTGGAAAAGAATAAGAAATTTCCCTCACTCTTAAAGCTGCAGATATCCTAGAAAACTCAATTTCTTACAGAAAACACATACAAATTCTCCGTATGACACAAATTTCATGACCAATAAGTGTCTGACAGTTGTTGGCTAAATTATCATTAGCAGAAATAATAATATGGGGGAGAATATTATATTTGTTACTTATGTTATTAAAAAAAAGAAAGAAAGAAAACACAAAAACTCAAAATTCTGACCCAACTTCTACATTTGAAAGATTAACAATTCAATTTTCATCGTGCTTCAGGTGATAACAAAATGAAATTATGATAGTTATTTGTAAGGCTTCCTCTGGCTTGACACAATTTTCTAGTTTATAAATTCCTATGTGCCACAATTTTAATTGTAAGCTCTACCATTAGAACACATTTGGCACTGTAAGTCACAGGTGACATACGGATAACATGCTAGCATTTGTTTCCTTTGCAGAGGTTCAATGTTTTCAAACATTTTCTTTTCTTTTTATCACTGCTTTAAGAAATGTAAGAAATATACTRAATAAAATCCAAAAGGTGTTTTCTATGATATACTGCAGATTTAAGGCTTCTCTGGTTTTGAAGAGGCATCTTTTTCTGCCCAAGTTCAGGTAATTCACTTGAAGACTTTCCACAGCCTGTAGCAAGATGACTGTGGGAATGCAGAAATGATAAAGTCAATTATTAAGCATTTTGGCTGACAGTACTTCAGGCTTTATAGAGCAAATTATTTCAGCATTGCATGTACTTAAGTATGGACAGCATTTGCTACAGACCTCTATTACTGACAAAAGGAAGTACAGATAGATGTACTGTTTAAAAATCTGGCAACATTTTAGTTGCAAATTGTGAACCACTTGCCCGCTGAGTCTACTTCATGACTGCTAGTAATGTTTTAATTGTGCCCGTTAAAAATCATGCTGAAAAAATTTACATTTGATAGGCAAAGTTAAGTTTTACTCCCATACTTGTCTCTCTGTAGGTTGCTAGAGGAAAGCATAAGGAAGTAAGAAAACAAGAGAATGAAAAGAGAAGCTGCAGTTACGTTAAAAAGAATTTTAAGAAAAAAAAAAAAAGAAACCAAGTTCTGGGTTCAATTTAGTGGCAAATATTATTCACAAATAGAGATTATATGATAGCAGTAATTATATAACTTTCCCCCAAAATCTCAGAGATTTTAATATTAAGTATATATGATTTTTTAAAAAATAAGCTATTGGTATAATAAACAGGATAGGTTAGTGATAATCTCTCCCCCTCCCCCAATTAAAAACTATTAGTATAAACTTGACTAATATTAACTCTATTCTCATAAGTTTCCTTAAGAAAAATTACCATAAAGCTGCACTATACTATAGTTCGGTTATATTGACAATTCTGGATGTAGTTTTCTATACCCAGACATCCAAATAATTATAACTAGTTCATTCCAGAAGCAATTTTGTCAGCAAGCTTTAGAGTCAACTGAACAACATATTATATAGATATTATACCTCTAAATGATATAAATCTTGAAGATGGGCTCTCGGACCATGTGATGTCAGTCCTGTAATAATATATTAAGATTTATGCCACCTGTGTTAAAAACATGGATCATTATTGTAAATACTATCATGATTGAACTTTTACTATAATATAGTGCAGTTTTAGAAGCCTGGCATGGGCAATACCATAATTTTTTTAAATTGAGAAATTAAGGATGTAATAATAATAATAATAAATATTACGGCAACTTGAGAATTTTAGAAATAGGGCAAAGATAAGAGCTGTGTTTAGCAGCAAAGAAAGGTAGTTTTATTTGTTAAGTGTAAGCACACCTGGTGAGTTAAATACAGGAGCTGAAGGGGCATTACATACAACTGTTTCAGCGAGCAATGTGTTATAGGGGTTGTTAGTGCCGTGGGGTCGAAGAAGAGGGTTTGTTAGTAGGTAATTGCCAGTCATTCCTAAAGCAAAAAAAAACAAAAAAACAAAAAACAAAAACAGAAAAAAAATACATCAGTTTTCTTATTTTAGTGTTACAGTTGCAATATATATATATATATATATATTTTTTTTTTTCCCCTAATTCATCAGGGTAGTGGACAAGTTGGCAATGGAAAATCTGTTGAAATTTTCTGACTGTATTTGAACTACTAATTTGAAGGAGAAAGGGGAGAGGGAAGTTAAATTTCAGTAACTCACAGGTGCTTTCTAAATCCCCCAAGTAAACACCTGCTAAGGATGACATTTACTAATTTATACAAAATCACTGTTAAACAAAAATGGCAATTAAATGCATAGAGATCAACATTATGTTTCAAGATGTTACTGCTTAATATTAAAAACTTCACCACGGAGGCCCAGAGGAGGGAATCTCAAACTTTCAGATTTACAGGTGTGGGATTATCCCTCATGAAAACATCTGTGTTAATACCAACTTTGATACAAGCAGGAAGAAAAACAACTTTCACAAACAGGTAAAAATTATGACACACTGCAAAAAGCTTCCTTTAGTAAATGCAAAAGCGTACATGCCGAGGGGGAAAACAACTCTAAAATGAATCATTGGATGATTCACAAATTGTATATAACAAGAATTCGTGTTTTATAATCTCATTTGCCAGGTTTCAAAAATGAATCTTTGAGTACTTCATTTACTTTTTGATCTTCATCTTAACAGAATTGGGTAAAACACCACTGCAATGGAATAGATGCACATTTCTCTCATTCTAATGGATAAATTATAAATTCTACCTATTCAATTAAAAAATACTTCAAATTCAAGTTGGTTTTGATGTTACACATACTCCACTCTTCATTTTAAACTAGAATCTTCCCAGAACAATGTCAACAATTTAAAATGTGTTTTAAATCAATACTTCAAAACTGAAAATACCTAAATAAATTACCTTTCCAGGATCAACACAATCATATGTTTTTTTCATACTAGATTGATATGTATTAAGTTATTATTCAGGAATACCTGTGTGTGCATGTGCTTGTGACCTAAATTGTTGCTAAATTAGTTCCTTTTCCAGAATTATATTGATTTATATGACAAATTTAAAGTTGCCTCTATAGACACATTGAACAATATGGAAAAAGTTACTATACAAACTTTCATGAATTTTAACTTTGTTTATAAAGACTTACTATARGTCTTTTAAAGTTTACTTTTCAGTTTTTGAAAAATCATAAAATAATTTTACAAAAATTTTGCCATTTTCACTGTAAAATCAGCACTGTTTTACATGAATAGTGATTACTCTAATTTATTTTAATATTTTAAGAAGAACCCTTTCATAAATGTCTTGTTTAGAAAGGAGGAAAACATTTTAATCTGTGGCAAAGTATGCTTTTAATAATTACTTTTTTCCAGCCTTCTGATAGTGTGGAGTTTAAAGTTATATTTTTTGCATTACATTATTGAAGAAAATGAATTTATATGTACTTTAATAAGTGATGATCAAAGTAAACAGGTTTAAGAACGTGTGATATATATACCCATGAGAGAAAAGTTCAGCACTTTAGAATTATACTATGTCTAGAATTATTCTAAGTTGGCAAAAAGTCCAAAATTTGTATTGTATATTGTAAACTAAAATTTTCCTAATAACTGACCTTGATTAAGTGTTGAAGTGCTATTGATGTCACCTGAGATAAAAGAAGATTCAGATTGTTTTCTCACAGTGTCATTCCACATCCTTCTTATACGACTCTATTAATATAAAATAGCAAGACATATGTTAGTTTTCCCAAGCTCACCTTATTAAAAACACACAAAGCTTCATCCTAGACAATCTGTGTATGATTATCAGTTGGCCTTTTACAGAATGTGTGCTGTTTTGGGTCCAAAACTAAGGACATCTATGCTGCCCTATTGCTTGCCTTTTACTAAAGGGTATTTAATCTTCCACTCTTGAAAGTGTGTTATTTAATTGACTTTTTATAAAAAGTTGAGATGACTGTTTATTCAACAAATGCTGACTGAGTGACTGCTATGAATGCTGTGCTATACGTCCTTAGAATATGGACTATTTAGGATTCACTTCTTAAAGGACACGCTTCCTCCAAAAGGATGTTTACACCTAAATAAACACCTTGAGTACATATTTAAGAAGAAATTAAAACCAGAATACTAAAAAAAGCAAGCATTTACTACCTGCATCATTATAATGAGGAAACAATTAGTGCATCTAAACAGAACATGTCCCAAAAGGCTTTCTATAAATAAGGTTAATTAAAGATGCTGTCAAACCCTTTGTTACCTGTGTGCCAGAGGAATACCGAGCACTGGTTCTGGTGGTTGATGCCTTCACAGAACTGTGGGGGCTCTCAGTTGGGAGTCCACCACAGCAATATGAGTGTCTGAAGCACTTGCCATATTCTTTTCGTACCTGCAATGAATAATCATGAGACCATGGGATTGAGATAAACATATACTTGCTTCTCTCTTTAATTAAATGMAGAGTGAAGACAACCAAGAAAAATTAAAGTAGGACCATGACATATCTGCAGAAAAAATAAATTGAAATTTCAAAATCAAGTTCAGCTGAAATTGCTAAAATCCTATCAGAGAAATATCTCTGACCATTTGATTAGCTAGTAGGATCTTTAAAACTTTGTATAACATGTGGACATACTTTGTACCTGTTGTTACTATTATCTGAATGTTAGCTATTAATTCAATAGCAATGTATTTAAAGTCTTATTCTGCCTATACAACTAGTGGCTTCATTTTATCTGGGGCTAAGAAAATCGGACAAACAGTTTGTATATTCCTTGCTTGATTATATTTACTCAATCTGTAATTCAGTCATTTAAGTTTTACATGCTTCACGTCCTCTTATTAGGTCAATACATAAACCTCTTTGACTAGATTGCAGAGTTTTGCCAGTAACCTCTTTGTAATGACAAGACTTCTTTGGCATAAGAACAAAGAAAAAAAGTACTTTGATACATTTGCCAATGATCAAAACAGAACGTTTTCTTCATTTTCTGATATGCCTAGCTTTAACATTTAGTATGGAGCATCTAAAGATGTCTACTCACTTCATTCGCACTCACCAAAACTATTTAAAAAAAGCTATTTCCATTCACATTAATGAGTTACCCATGTAATTTCCCTTTCTCACTGGATCCTGCATATATGAATGGAGAGGAAAACTGTTTGGTCTAAAAGGAAGTTTAAATCAACCTTTAAAAAGTGGAGTCCAGAGCTGCAGTTGTAGCTCAGTGTTAGAGCGTTTGCCTAGCATTTGAGAAGCAGTGGGTTTGATTCTCAGCACAGCGTACGCATAAATAAAGTTCCATCAACAACTAAAAACAATATTAAGAAAAAAAATGGAGTCCAAAGAACTACCCTTCTGGAACAGTACAGAATTGGGAGAAAGGCAGAGGGTGCTGGATTGTGTACAGTTACATCAGCATAGAAATGTTTTATTGTAGATTAGAGCCAGCCTTTGAAATCACAACACGGACAGGGAAAAATTACAGAAGAAAAAAAWTTTTTTTCTAGTAGATTACCACCACAATAACAAAAATCAAAAAACAAACAAAAAATTCCCCAAATACTCAAGAAGCCTTTCCCCTTTCACAACTCAGTAATCCACTTGTAAAGACCATGACTTTAACACTTATTCCTTTCAAAATTAGAAAATTGAAGTCACCAGATGATCTTTTAAATCTAAGTGTACTTGCATTTTTTTCTTGGTTTATTTAATTATATCTATTAAAGCAAATAACAATGTGGTTGAGCTTTGAAGGCATTTTCTTGGCCTAAATATGCTCAATTCGAGCAGTAAGAACCATGATTTTAATGTAACCATTTTATGTCATATTTTTAACAATCTACACTGGTAGTACCCAATAGGATGTATCCTAGAATAAGGAGAACATGTCAAAACAAGTGCATCAGGATACTTTTAAAATGCAGTTGTTAAGGAAAAAAGCATGTTAAAATCTCCTTGTTCAATTAGCACACATAACTATATGAAGAAATAATTACTGTTTCACCCTTTCTCTGTTAAGTCAATGCATTATATCAAAACTGTTTGGCACAATAATCCAGAAATGATGAATATGTCATCATAGGCTTGTGCACAGACTGCTCATGTACATAAGAAATAAATAAAAACTAAAGTAGTTACTAAGGTTATCCTTGTACAATGTTTAGAAAGTTAGAGTTCACTGTTATTAAATAACACATGATACCTCACAAAAATTTTCCACACATTTAATGGCTATTAACTGTTCCAAAATGCTGTATAACCAAGACAATGGCAATCAAAATGGTATTTTATCCAAATAATACCCTCCAGTGTTGGTTTTGCCTAATGCCTATATTGCTGTGAATGTACATTATCTGTCAGTATTGCACATTCCACTGTCATTATCTCAAAATTATAGCTTATTCAAAACTGATGGAAGTAACAACACTATCATCTTGTCAGGACTGAAAACATAATAGTTTTCACTTTCACAATTCTATTTCTCTGTTCAATTTAGTGACCAACTAGTAATAACAGAATAAAAAGACTACATTAGATATGCAGACAGAAAGGATGATACCTTGTGAAAGGCACAGAAATTTTAAACTCCAATGGCAGCTAAGAGATTCTCTTAGGCTTATGTCTTGMTACAGATTGAAGTTTTTCCTTTTAACTTTAATTTTTGAATCCTTTTTGCTGAATTCACTTAACATGAAGTCAGAACAAAATACTAGGTAGGACATGAGGTCTAAATTATTGGTTTTTAAATCTTTCAAAATTACTCAAAAGGAACATTAGCATTAATTTTTTATATGCCTGGTGTGTTTAAAATTGACATGATATATTCTTACACTCAATTTCATTTAGGACTAGTGCATTCCTGTTAGTGAGCATGAAATAAATTTAACTTTTTTTTTTTTAATCTTGTATACTCTGTGAGTAAAATATTCTACAGACCCTACTAGCAAAGAAGAAATCTTAACATAAATAATCTGGTTTACAACCTTCCCAAAAGATGACTGGTATTGTTCAACTTTATAATGTGAAGCCTGAATTTCCAGATAGGTATTAAAATTAACTTATAATAAAAAAATATGATGCTATTTAGCAATACGCCCACTGTAACTTCTCTATTACACCTATTATTTTCAAGTCACAGAATGAGCAAGCTGAGGCCCTAGGTGTTTTCATTCACTTACTTTCYTCTGGAGAGCACAGTGAAAGATGAAAATGAACACTCCCTGGAAAGCATTAGAGATGGTGAAGAGATACGCCATCACAACAGTCTCCTCATTAATAAAAAGCAACCCAAATGACCAGGTGAGGCCAAGAAGACACAGCAGAGCAAAAGCACCAAGCACCCAAGACCTGAAAAAACAAATTGAATTTTTTAACAGGTTCAATGAGGGAAAAAAATATTACACTTATTTATTAACATTTTAGTAGTAGCAGTTGACTTTCTCTATGTTCACATTCAAACTCAACAGCATTTGTCTTTATCCTTTCATTGATTAAAAAAGAACAACAGCATTTAGTACTGCAGCCTCCGGTGAAAACYGCAACAGCAGGCATGACCTTTTCTTACTCCAGAATACACAGGTATCGAACTACTTTAAAATACAGATTGTAAAATAACCCCCAGGACTTTATTGCTGTTTATGTGCATTTTGGTTAAAGAAATTAAGGAGTTTTTAATTAGTTTACTAACATATTTTTATTCCTGTGGTCTACTCATATGACACTGAATAATGTGACACAGACAGAAAGGTTAAATGGCAGATAATCACTTTAGTACCTAAACTTCAAAGTCTATGAGCTAGTCTTAGGTGAACCTAAGGTTTTATAACTAAAGCATGAAGAAGCCTAGCTGAAATGAGGTAAAAACATGAGGACAACTTCAAAATAATAATAAAAAAAATAATAATAATTTTGGAGAGATTTCATCATGAATAGCTTAAGGAGAAAAGAACTGTAGAAAATAGGGCGGAATGAGAAGGAATTAAAGTCAGTGCATTCCATGTCTAACTAATGATCTTACTTGATAAATGGCTTATTATCTTCATAGCTAGAAAGCATTATAAGCAGAAAAGAGAAACAAAATTATTAGACAGAATTAAAATAGAAAGTAATAAGAAAGCATTTATATATTATATAAATTAGTCAAAATTAAGAAAGTCAAAATGCAGAGGCAAGCAATTAAAAAATAAAGGCATATTATAGTTTAAAAATACTATAGCAAATTAGATATTCCAAAATAATTATAAAAATTAAGGGCAATTCATGATATTGACGGATTTGTAAAAAATATAAATCATGCCATAAATTTGTTAATGTAGGGTTCTACCTTACCCAGGTAAGTCCGTATTATAGTAGCCATCACAAACACGGTAATTACTGGTGTAGATGAGAAGACAGAAAGAGGAAAAGGAAGAAAAGAGAGAGATGCTAAAGATTAGCTCTCTCTCTTACCATGCAACATGCAATGAAGCTGGCACTAACCTATCTAAAACATCTTTTTTTTTTTTTAAATTTACCCTTACAATAGATCTGCCATTTTTTTACTCTAAAAGTATTTTCACAATCCCATTATAACTTGAATACCTCAAGTTCTAAATTAACACTCATATTTTTTAAAATAACTCTGAAAATACCTCCATAAGATGATTTAATGAATCAACAGCTATCAATTTTTCGTTAATTAGATAGCATTTTTCCATTGATAGAATATTGCAATAACACTAGTGAGATAAAGTAAACATTTGTTTAATTAGCATAAAAACAACAGATCATCTTCACATTAACAATAGTAATAGAGTAAATTCTCTTAGGAAAACAGGATTAGGAGGAGAAACTGCTTAGAATCCTTAAATCAAAAAGTCATTTAACAAAACAAACTTAATAAAATCCTATCAGCCATGCAAACAAGAACATCATTTTGAATTGCATTTTCAATTCAAATGAAATTGCTATAGTGATATGAAATTTCCACAAAGCTACTAAAACAATTTCTTCATTCTAAATCAAGACAGAATTATCTAACTTTTGACCCATGTCTGTAACATAGTTAACAGTGAGACTCAACCTTGATCAGTAAAACTTCATTCTGAATAATTTCTACAGTTGACAGAAGGCAAAAATACCTGTGTTCCCTGTGGAGAATATCTTTTACTTAGCTTGTCAAGTGCTAAAATTAAAATACAAAATACTTACTTAATGTTTTCTAACCTGCTAGAATCTGGTTTCAAAGTGTTTGAATGCTTCACCATTTTGCACAATGTGATCACCAGGAAGATGATATTTAACTGTTATAACAAATAAAGAAAGAATTGGATCACTATAAAGAAAGTAAAAACTTTTTTTTTCCAAATATAGTTAACGAACTAATGCATCAATAGTATGTGGATATGGGAGAGAATTTAGGTATGTGATGATCAACTTCGGTCTATGTAAAACACGCTCCATATGATCAATTCTTCAATAGATCATTTGACATGAAATTGCAACCTTAATGAGTCAGCATCATGTGGTAATGATTAAATAAATTACCAAACCTAAATTAGTCTCTTTAGCTACATATACTCCAGAGCCTAAAACCCATGGAATAAATACTGAAGTGAATTTCTTAGAAGGACCATTTACATCAGCTTCAGGAAGAATCCCTGGGTTGGAATCATAAGACTTGGATAAGAGTCTAGCTCTTGATTTTGATTAATTAAATGAGATTAATAACATCTGCACAACCTACTTTCTAAGGTCATTGTGAGGAGAAAGTGAAATAAAATATGAAAACTCTTCTAGATGAGGACAAATTTTAAAAATATATATATATAGTCCTATTTAACCATTACTTAGTCATTATTTAACCATGAGTCCTTTTTCTCCTGTATCTTTTTGTCACATGCAAATTGGTAAATTCTGACAAAAGGTTATTTCAGTTCTAAACATTCTGCTATGCTGTGAATCTAGATGCAAACAAAATCAACCTGAGGAAGATGGAATCTAACATAGAAGGTCTGAGGAGAGACAAAGGTTGGTAATTTGTATTTGCTTCTACCGGCACCTGGCAGAACTATGGAAAGGTGGCAATTCCACTTTTATGTTCTAAAAATAGAACTAAACTATAGTGTTCCTGGATTTTTAACTTTTGTTTTGGATTATTATTTTAAAAGAGACTAAAACATTATATGATTTAGTAACAGCTCAAATGGTATATTTATAAGGACCCACTGTAGGTGGAGATGAATTCAATTCCTTGGGAACAGATAATCAACACAACTTTGTTACAGTAATATGATCTTTTTTATCGAGTCACAATGACACATGATCAAATGATAACATTATTTTATTCATCCATCACTGCTTCTAACTTTTATAATTAGGAAAGTTTATGTAGGACAATAAATTAAACTTTCTAAGTCCTTCCTATAAAGATAAGTTTGGGAACAGAGCAAAAGCTTTAATCCAAGYTCTTTATCATTTTGTGTACTATGCCTTATTCTTTACAGGATAAAATGAGGTTAATGGGCCTAACTTATACATGTTGGCAGACAGTGTCCTACCCTTCCATGTTAATTACTGGAGGAAAAAAGCAGCTTTTTGTTTTAAAGTACTTAAAGATTAATTTCTTAACATAAGTAAAATTGTAGAAACATTTTATTTTTGCTTTATTTGCTAAAGATTATTACAGCAAGTCACAAAATATATGCTTGAATTTTAAGGGATGTTACAATATAATACATTTCATTCAACAAATATTTATTGTCCTGACTGCTCTACATAAGATATGCTGATTGTATTGTGAATACAAGACAGTTTCTGCCTTTGAGAAATTAATTTAAGAGAACCATTTGATAATACAGTAAATATTGATTAGGTTTTAAAAGCATTATGGTAAAGTGTATCTCTAATTAAAAAATAAACAAAATCAACATGTTATTATTCCTATAGCTTATACAACAGCAGCCTTAACTAGTAATAATTGAAGAATGGTTAAAAGGAAGAACTGCATAAATATCTTAAAAACAAACCAAAACCCATGTAAACAAACTGATACCCACCCATTTGCTTCACAGATTCAGTTAAAATCCTTCACTCTGTTTCCACTTCTTTTTGAATGTCTTAATACAAACATTTCTTTTATTGCAGATTTCTAGATATAGGGTTCCCCTTCCCCTTTATTAATTTCCCAAAATATATAAGGCCATAATTTGTTATTCATTACTTTCTAAGCATATTAATTATTTCCTCTCCTCGTCTTAGGAACAARATAGAAAGCAAAAAGGCTATTTATTATCTACCACAATGTTTACAATTATACATAGAGTAATGAATGTAAATGTGAAGAAATGTGGATTGTGTAAAGTATGCTGTAAAAATAAAATGAGTAGAAAAGTCCAGGGATGAACTTAGCAGAACAATATTTTTTTCAGTGAACAAAATCAGGCAAAAAAAAAAAAAATAGTCTAAGAATAAAAACATTTTTCAATAAAACTGAAATAAGAAATTAAGATCTACCTATAGGGAAATATAATTAAAGCTTATATATGTTAAAGACATTTTTTTCCTAGTTAAGAATGAAAAATAGCCCAGTTGAATATGTCACACACACACACACACACACACACAAAAAAAAAAATTATCATTTAATCCTTAAAGCATACACTGTTGGCTACTTTTCTCCTCTTTCATTCCCTTCACTCAACTGAGGTTTTAAACAAAATATGTTTTATTTCTATTTAAAATATCAACAAGTTCAGAAAATATATAAAATCTCAGGGGGGAAAAGCCAGCTATAGTCCTACTGCCAGAGGTAGCAGACAGTCTTGTATGCCCAATTTACAAATTATTGAGATGTGTCTTCCCAAAGATTACTTAGCTATTATAATGTCAGTGTTGAGATTCAATATACTGTGGTCTGGCTCCACAGCCCACAGTATTTCCAAATAAAATTAACCAATTTGTTCTGGGTAGGAAAGTTAAGAGTCTTTGAACAACAGATATACTGATTCTATTAAAAAACAAAACAAAACAAAACCAAGATTCTGCTTCTTCAARGCAGAAGCCAATGTAAAAGTGAACAAGCAATGATAAATGAGGTTGAAATAAATAATCAATTAATATATACAATACTGCCTCAAAGAAACCCTGAATTGCATAACAGGGGTACTCTTGGAATGACTTCCAATTGATGGACTGACCAGAGTTAACTAACAATCCATTTCCTCTGGAAACTTCCACCATTCCACAACCTGAATGCTCACCCTTCTCCCTACTAGTCAACCTGAATGCTTAACTGTCCATTGTGTCTTCTCTAAAGCTTGTTATGTCAGTTACATTCTTGTATAACTAAATACTACACAAATTCAGAAATCCCAAATGTGAATATAAAACTAAAGTTTTAAAAAGCTGTTCTCACACAGCTAGCATTGATTGCATTAAGAAGACTTAAAAGGAGTTTCTTTAAAAACAACTAAAAATACTGGGAAAATAATCCTAAAACCCTCAAAGGATTTTTGTACTCAAATGATTTTCCAAATGTTCATAAATTTTCCAATGTAAAGAAACTAAAAATAACCATTACAATCAATGCACAGGTTTTCAAGAAATTTAGTTAAACCCTGCACAAATTTAGTCTATGAAATAGAAAGCATAAAAATAACAAATCAATGACACTTAATAAGACAACATTTCATCATTTCAAAACAAAGTATGAAAAAARGCATTCAAGTCATAACTCTAAAATAAGATGGCAAAAAAAAAATCCTAAAATGAGTGTTTCCCCATTTCATTAAAAAAAAAACCTAAAATTTCACTGACATGAAYTATTTACTAGTTTATTAGAAAAATGGAATACTTATACCATATAGATATTAAACAATTTTATATGGTACTGCCAACAGCATATGGAAGTGAAATATTTCCTGGAAACAAGTAGGATAAATACTGAAGCAAAAATACATCTTTTTAAAGTGTGGTTTTACAGTTCTCTTATTTTTTCAATGCTTAAAAAATTATAATGTTAAATTTTCGTTTCACAGAATAAATATTGTTGTTATGATCTTTTTCAGGAGGTAAGAATTATCATTTTTGTGGGATATATTTCAATAGATTCTCACCACCCTTTCTTTCTAGTTCTCTTAAAATACAAMAATAGGAAAAAAAAGAGATAAAGAAGCAAATAGAAACATCTTTGATAAATTCTATAATCCACAATATTCACTTTCAGACAAAACACCTGATTTTAAACTTCAGTCTGCAAACCCGAGTTCCTAGTTTCTTTGCATTTTCTTCATGATATAATTCTTCATAGATCTTTCCAGGTGGGCATTCATTTCCTTCTTCCCTCCCTGTTCCTTTATTTATTTATTTATTTATGGTTAAAATAAGTGATTTTTTTTCTCCTTCTTATTTTATTTTTCCTCAATATATTTTCCTGTCGTTGGTATACATTTAAAAATTAATCACACAGAGAGAGTTTCCCCTATTTGYCACTGGAAAGCAGATGAAGGGAGAGAACAGACATCATTCAATTGCTGTTCCTCTCACCTGCACCCCAAGGAGGTCAGTTTTTACCTCTGTCTTTAAACACCACTCAGTTTAAACATAACATTTTAAGATAGGTTGGAAGGTTTTATGTGTAAGTCAGAAAGGAAAAAGTTGGAGCTATCAACTTTTTACACACACAAAGATTTGTCTAACCAGGTAAGTACATGTAGTTACTCAATTATTCACATAGAAGTCACCCTTAAGTATAGGTTATTAGGATTATGTTAGGTATGTATGTCAACCCATAAGCTCATGATTAATTTTAGAGATGAAGCAATTTGTTCAGTCAAAAATTAATCAAATATTAACTCTGGTCTATGCCTGTATGTGTGCAGGTATAAATAGATTGGTGGGAATGTCTTCATAGAATACTATGTGAAAGGGTGGGAGTAAATCCAGAAGAAAAAAATATTTTTCCCCTTATATAGCTAAAAAGACTAAATCACCAAACTAGGGCATTCTTTCTGATCCACTGACCAATATCATTCTTTCAACACTTCCCAAATAATAATTGCAAAAATAATTATTAAAATAGCCTGCCAGAAAAGTTTGCTACAAAAAAAATCCAATGCTGCTTAATAACATGGCATAGTTAAAAATCACCCATTTGATAAAATAAAAATACAAAGAAGTTTATAAAAAAGAAAAAGGTACCACAGATTATAGGAGAGCACAGTTTGCTTTATGGTCATCAACCTGCTCAATTGAATCACATCCGTCTGAGCTTAGCAGCTTAAAATTCATTCCACAGCTTGCAGTGCTGACATGGATATGATAAGACAGAAGAACAGAAACACCACTCTGAAGTAACCTAGCTGAACTGCACATGTTCTGACCCTTTTTGTCCTCCCTGGAGCTTTTGCTACCTGGCAAATGCAACTCTAAAACTGTACTTGTATCTCTAGATCTTTGCTATTAGCCAAGCAGAAACCTATTTCTCTCTGGGACTAGCAGCCAGAGAGGTGTTCTCTGAAGAAGATTTCTAAATGAGTGTGTGAGCTGAACTCTTACTGAACTGAATTAATTATTAATGATGCAGATGGAGCTGTCCAAATGATAAGAACAGCTCCTGACGTGTCATGATCCAAGCTTTCATTAAACCATTTCAGGCATACTAATGGTTTCCCACTGCTCATTACTTACCAGCACTTTTCTCATAGATATAATAACTCCAGTGCCTGTAGGCAAGACATTCTATAGAGATGCAGAAGTGGGAAGTTTTATCTTCCTTAGCATATTATTTTTCTTCATAGAACATTATTATTAAAAATGTACACTTATTTAAGACTAGGAAGTTAAATGGTTTCAATTCAAAAAAGCTGGAAATGCACCACTATATTTTCTATTTTTTGTTACAAGAATAGAACATAAATGAATAGTATACAATATAGTTTATATTATTAAGATGTATGTCTGAATTGAGTTTTAAATGTATTGTCAGAGAATAAATGTAGGTAAGTGTATTTTCAGCAAGCTTATGCTGTACAATTATATTTTAGTTTAGGTTACATGGTGTTTTGCAAGATTGCTTGGCACTCTTGTACCACACTTAGTTTCACTGTGTGTTGGGAGGATTAGAAGGCAAGGCAACTGAGGAGAAGAATTCCAAGGAGGTGTATACTGTGATTGCTACCTGCTGGTTTCTTTTTGTTGTTGTTGTTGTTTGTTTTTAAGTTCAGGAAAATGTTCTAAAAGCCCTACACACATCTCAGCCTAAAGGATTTGGTAGAGGATAATAATAAGAGTCTAATTAATATGAGGCTGTCTTTTTAAATGGGTAATACAAATAAAATGTGTTTTACCTCTTTTCTTCCTCAAAGCTGAGTATGTGTGAACATTAGCTCCTTTTGCCAAATAAAATGTCTTTTTCTTTTTAATGTTTTAAAGTCGGTACTTATCTTTATAAATATAAAATAAAACTTCAGTACAACAGAAGTAAACATATGACATTTTTATAGTGTGAATATCCCTAAAGTGGTCTTTATAGTTTCCAAAGTATAAATGTGTTTGGCCAAGGACTTAGGGGAAAAGAGAAGCCTGTGGTTTTAAAGATCATACCTCTTCATGTCAATTGTCTGTCATTAATTCAAGATAAACTGAGGCTGTATTCACATAAACACACTAAGAATAAAAACTGAAATAGTTATCTGGATTGAATAATTCTGATAAGAAATTAGCTCACCTAAGAACACTAGAGAATATTTTACTGATTTAATTCACATAAACATCCATCTCGTATTTTTATTTTGCTTTGTAAATATAATTGTTGAAAATAATTAATTTTAATGAGAATAAAAATGCACATACACTTGAGTGGTTTAAAGTTTCCTTCAACTACTAAAAGGTTTTCCAAACTTTAGGAAACACAAATTAACTATAAAAATATCATAAGAAGCTCATGTGCCAATTTTTTGAAATAAAGAAACAAAATCCTGAACATAGCAATAAAAAGATAAAGGTAATATTAAAGCTTGTGTTTCAACTTGTTTTCTAGTTATTAAATAGATATGATTAACAATACCAATTCTTAATGCTTTAGTTATATTCTTTTGWTTTTAGTATAATTGAAGTATGACTAAGGATAATGTAAGAAGTTTTAAAAAACCTTAATGTTACTAATCTTAACTTGTATCAAATTCATTTAAAAATAAAAATTCTTAAAAACCAGTTGCATCCCCAGTCCTTGTTTGGTATTTTAAGTCTTAAAAAAATTTATTTTATTCTTAATGAGTTTAAAATTCGCTTAACAGTCCTCTATTAATCTAAACTTTTAAACTTTAATATGTCTTAAAACAATTTAGGGTATGGACATTCACTTCAACTACTAAATTACTATGTTGACATTAAGGTAACAATTAAGATAATGTTAATTCACTTTTCTAAAACATTCATTTAATTCATAACATGGCTTATAAGTATTTCTTTTAGATTTTTTGACACAATTAATTAGAAATGGGAAATACTATTTTTCAGTAGATGTGATTTYCAGAAAGTTAATTAGCAAGTGTATAAACACGATAATGATGTAATATTTAAAATATAATAAATAATATTATCCTGTAACATAGAATGTCCATATAATTTTTGAATACATAAATTAACCATAAACTAAGTTATTTTTGAATAATATTTCTAAAGTAGCAGCTAAAACGAAAGGGAAAACAGAGTCTTCTTACCAGAATAATGAAGGTGACAGGTCCAATGAAACTCCAAATAAAATAGTTGTCAACACGAAGCCAGCAACTGTTTTGAAAACAAAAGAATATGTATCAAGTAGCCTCACTGGATATTTAACATCACAAGAAAAATAAATTTTTAAAACTTAACAAACACAAAACGATCTCTAAATTTGCTTTTGATAATTCACTATGGACAAGAACAATTCTAATAATTCTGAGTTGGCGCGAATTTAACAAAGGACAGCAATTTACTTCAACCTGCCATTTTCCATTTCAAGTTATTTACCTGATAAAAGCATACAAAATTATGCTTATACAGGGAAAAAAATAATCCCACCCACCCCTAAATCCTTAAGGACTCTTAATCTTATTAAGAAAGATTTGAAATCTCAAATTCCAAATGGCCTCATCATTTTAAAGTGCTATATGTAATCATCAAAATTTGCCTTTCAGATCTATCTGAAATAAAGTGTTTAACCCTATGAAACAGACAAGGAAAAAAATGTTCAGATGTCATATTTGTTATGAAACAGAACAGCATAAATATGCCTTCATTAGGAAAGGAAAAATACTGGGGAAAAAAATCAAAGCACAGAACTTGCAGAGAATTACAGTAAATGATGCATTAACTTATTAAGACATACTTTACTTAGTGGTTCATTTTTGATATAACCTTGAATCCCTGCTGAATTTCTTTTATTTGTTTTTCATCATCTTTACAGTCAAAAAGCTTTCTCTACTCCAAAAGAGTCTTCATATAACTAGTTTTATCAAAGGAAAAAAAAATAAACAGAATTGGAAGGCACATTCATGCCCCTAATAAAATAAAATCCTTAGAAACATGGCCATGTCTACCTTCTGTTACTTTCTGTAAATAACTATATTTTTATAAATGAAAGACAGAGACTTATTTTAATCCTTTTCTAACTGCCTCATAAAATATTATCAAAGTTAAACATATGGGATGGAATGTGCTGCTAGTGTCACCATTCAGAACAAGAGTTAGCTACAGGGTCGGCTGCACAAAGAGAGCTAATGAAGCATTAGCTTAAAACTGAGTAGTTAAACCTGTCAGATGCGTTAAGTTCAGAAGAATTTTTACTTAATATCTTCTAAGGCCAAAAASTTATTTACTCTTTCAATTTGTTTCAGGTCAATCTTTTGTGTTAAAAAGAAAGTCCATAATGTAGAATCTGCCTCACTAGAGTACAAATCCTCTGAACCTAGAAAATTACAAAAGACTTGATTGTAATTTGTGCACGGCATGCCCATTCTCTTACCAATAAAGCTTTCAGATGCTATTTTAGTCTGTCAGGGACCCTCACTGACAGCTAACAGGCTTTAAAAAATTATTCACTTGAAAAACACTCAGGTCGCTTGCAATTACTTACGCTTTTACTGTTCCATAGCTCTTATAGTCAATAGCGGCTGAAACTCCAACCACTGTGGCAGGAAACAAGTAACCAGCAACATAATAATATTTCTTCCTTGAATATTCACTTTCGAAAACTTCAACTAACATTAAATAGAGCTGCACACCTTCTAGGCACATCCAAGCAAAAGCTGCCAAAAAGAAAAAGTGTAGAAGTCCTGCAAATATTGGGCATGCAATCTGTAAGGAAAGAACAAAAAAAAAAAAAGAGAGAGAGAGAGAGAAAACTTATGAATACAAATAGCTTGCTAAAACTATAAAATACTCACACACAAATCCTGTTTTTTATAAACACATCTTTACTTAAAACTACTGTTCTCTCAAAAAAAAATTGGATATCACTTTTCATAACTGGAAACAAAAGTTAAAAAACACTGCCAAACATGAAGAATATAACACTTGCATAGAATAACAGCAAGTGTGCTAGATTTCATCGGGGTAAGATATTACTGTTTTGGGTCAAACTGAATATCAAATAGAAAACAAATCTTAATGTCTTCTCAAATTATCCATTATAAAATCTAACTATTCTGCTTGTCTATGATTTGCTTTATAAGTCTTATATTTTCTAAAATACTTGCGAAAAATATATTATTTCTATGTTTTATAKAACAAAAATTTAAACTGCTTATTCTAGTGATAAATACCCTGGCCTTAATTAAGTAGGATTATTGTCCTATCTTATATGGAACATTCTTTAAATTCATCCCAACACAGAAGAATATAGGATGATGTATTAACTAACTAAATTCTGTTTCTGACAATTGAGACCTCAAGATAACAAATACATTGCTCTAAATATGAAGAAGTTCACTAGTCAGAATGACTATGTAAGCACAATAGGAATTAAAAACTAGTATATTTTCAGTACCCTAGCATTCTTCTATTCAAATTACAYATCTTAATAACCCAGAAAACAAAATTGTACCTTAATAACAAAATAAATTAATTCATAATATTACTTCATGATTGAGCTGTTTTTTAATTAATTACAAATTATACTTCAATATCACCATGTCAGTTTTAACAAACTATAATGTCAACAATTAATAGCAACCTCATACACAAATTCATACCTATTTAAAGAATTTTCAAAGATCCAAGGTCAATAATCTTAACAGGTGCTTACCGTATATTTTGTCTTATCAATKCCAATTAGAAAAATAAACTCAGCAATGAAAAGGTTGATACAAAGGTTCTTGTGAATAGTATTACGGTCACTCTGTAGACCACGGAAAAAACAGAAGGTGAAGATGCAGATAGCCAGGCATACAAGGGAAACGACAATTCCCACCCAGGTGATGACTGTGAGAAGTAATTCATGAACTCCATCTTTATACTATAAAATAAAAAGACATGAAGAACACTAGTATTCCTACAGAACATTAACGAGAAGTAAAACAGTTTGTTGAATATTGAACTCTGAAGAATAATATCCATGTGAGCTAAAACAGGGCTCATTACTAAAAAGAGATTATTATCTCATTGACTATAATACTGATGAAGAATGACTTATGAAAGAGGAAGACATTCCCTAGAAAATAACTCAAAAGCACAAATATTTTAAAATAATGATCGGAATAATTACCTGCAAAAACACAGAAAACATTTTCATGAAAAAATACAAAATGCTTGATTATGATTAAAAATAATCAACATTGTAAAGATTTTCTAGGATAACACACATAAGCCAAGTTTTAATTTCATTTTCTCTTTGGGTTTCTACATGCTTTCATACTGAGAGCTAACAGTATGAAAACAGTATTGTTTATTGAGTAAACAATAAACCTGAGTTTTAATTCTATAATTCAGAAGGTATTTTTTATCTTCTCACTAACATTCTCCTCATAAGAAGAAATATCAAGATGTATTCCTGATGTCATTCAGGCTTTTCAAAATATGAAACTTTACATAGTGTGTGGTCAAAGTCTTAAAAGGAGATTCCAACATTTGAAATGGGAAGGGCATGCTRAATTTTAGTCTTTTGTTTGTTGTGTGACCCATTGGTATTCAGTTTTTAAACCCCTAGTTCCAACAATTACATGAAGTGACATTGGAGAGCATGATTTTAAGAAGAAACAATAACAGCCAGGCTCGGTGGCACACGCCTATAATCCCAGCAGCTCAGGAGACTGAGGCAGGATGATCACGAGTTCAAAGCCAGCCTTAGCAACAGCCAGGCACTAAGCAACTCAGTGATAGATATACAAAATATAAAACAGGACTGGGGTGTACAATCAGAGATATGAAAATGTGTTCTATATGTGCAATCAGAATTGTRATGCATTCTGTTGTCATATATAACAAATTAAAAATTTAAAAAATGACATAAAAAAAAATAGGACTGAGGATGTGGCTCAGTGGTAGAGTGGCCCTGAGTTCAATCCCTTGTACCAAAAAAAAAAAAAAAACAATAACAGAGTGATACTACTTCTTAAAATATATGGATAGTGTAGAAAATATTAGAAATTCATGTGTAGTTTGCTTTTAGTTACGATAAGCACCTAAGAAACAGGACTACAATACAAGCTGTTTTGAATCTCTGAGGTTTTTTTTCCCTGATACTAATTAGAAGTGCAAATACTTACTGCAATTTTCCTGTGGGCCATGAGAATGGCAAAATTGGTTAGGTGGCTACATGCACACGTTGTACGAGTTTTATTAGTGTCAACCAGCTTGCAGCCCTGGGTAGACCAATATCCCATCATAGTTCTCTCTGAGTAGTTCCAGAAGGAGCAGTTTGCATTGAAATAATTGTCAGGCTGGGAAATAAAATGACAAGACAAAATTAGGATTTTACACTCTAAGATGGCAATGGCAATTGTTTAATATGTGTAAAAGGTAATTTAGATTAAACTTTGCATGTTTCGGACTATAAAGTTTTTCATCAGCAAAATTGTGGACTATGTTATACAAGGCAGACATCTAGCTTAAAAGGGGCTTTATAGTCCGAAACACTCTAAAGTGTACTCTAAATTACCAAAGACCCATTTTACACAATTATAATTTCCATCTTATGATTTTACATACTGATAGTACATTAGAATCATTTCCCCCCCCTTTCTGACAAAATTAGAGCCATGAATTTTTTTTCTGAGAAAATTCTGTAAGGTACAAATGTCTAAAATTCCACTTTCAATTTGAGGCCCATTTTTGGTTAGTTCTAAGTGATACACTAGCAACCATTTGAATCACTCAGAACATCAAGGCTCTTAAGAGTAAATCAACTGAAGCAGATATGACACGAGGACCATGACTGCACAATTTTATTTTTGTCAATTCTGTAAGTCTACTTGGTTATCAGTAGGTACTCATTCCCTCTACTTGGAACATAGAGTAGGTATTTAAATATCAACTTGAGGTACAGCAGAGGAATCACATCTCAGTMTTCTACTTTTGCAACACAATACTTAATAACAGCCCTGCCAAATATGATCAATAAAACCAATTTAAAAACAACAACAACAATGATTTGCCACTCTACAAAAGCAGAGTCCTAAGAGTTAACACACAGCTATCCTGCTGCTMAGGTAAGAGTTAATTTTCATTTGAAAACAAATTAGAGTCATTTACATTTTCCTGTTGATTACTGAATTAGCTTTCATTAAGAATACACTTAAGTTCTAATAATCACTGAACCAGGCTCATTTAATTTTATGTTCACAGACTTAAATAAACTTGTGTCTCTGACCTAGTCCAACATTTGAAATTCAAATGGAAAGGTCCTGTGTCCCTCCCATAGTCTCCCTCTCCCTCTCTGCACCCCCAGCATGTCAGCTTTACTTCCCTTCCTCTCTAGTTTTATAACCTTCCAYTGCTTCATTAGCATACATTAACTTACATCAATGTGTGGTAGGGTAAAAAGCACAGGATCAGTCAGGTACACACGGCTGGACTCCTTATTGATTGAAACTGAAATGACGTGAGAGTTCACTGCGATGGTGCTATTACGRCCAATAAAGTCCGCACCCAGTTTTATGGTTGCATTCTCTGTACTAAGGAACTGTCCCAGACTCCGGTAAATGATGAACACCAACTTTGCAAGCCCTAGGAAGGTAGAAACCATCATATGACTTTTAGGAAATATGCTTATGTATAAAATAAGACAATGAGAATACATTGAAAAAATCCTTACAGAATCTTTATTTAAGAATACATGTATGGGGCATTATTTTAAACATACTTTAAAATTTTTTAAGACACTTTTGTTACAGTCAGGGTCAAATGACATTTTTTTTTCTTTCTCTTTTTTATTTTTTTTCTTTCTCTTTTTTGATTCGTTCTGTTTTAGGAATATATGATAGTAGAGTGCATTTTGACAAATTATACATACATAGAGTAAAACATTCTAATAAGGATCTCATTCTTGCAGTTGTACATGATGTAGAGATCAATATTTTAGAGTAGGTTTAACTGAACAACAAAAGAAACAAATTTAAAGAAAAGTTTGTCTTACCATTCCTGCTGTTTTGTTTGACAGTATTGGCAGAGAGTTGGATTGAGCTGCCTGCTCCCTTGATGCCCAGAGGAAACTTAAAGTCCTGGACCTGGCCTTCTGTACTGAGGACTGCAACCTCCAGAACTGGATGAGGCCAAGGACAAAAGAGAGGAAAAAAAGGAGAATTCTTTAGTTTAAATTAAAAGAGGCAAATGGTAATTGCACAGAAGCTACTTCYTTTTACAGTACTTGGAAAACTTGACTATTAGATTTTAAAATAAAAAATACTAAATTACTCCAAGAGATCTTAAAACCTTCTGAAATATTTTGTATAATCATTTTGACATTTTCTTCATATTTTTATGGCTTTTGTCATGAGTCAATTCCAAACTTTTATCCTATGAGTGTGAACACTGCATAAATTTATAGTAAAAAAAACTTTCAAAATTTTTTTAAATCATGAAGTTAAACAAAATATTTTGAATTGATATTTTTGCATCTCTTTGTTAAATAACTTTTCAATAACCACATTTGCAGTGGTAGAAGTATATATTTGTTCGTACATTTATTTATTTACATAAATGATATATTTTAAGATATAAAATTACAGAGATCAAGATTTCAATACTATATTTTTCTTATTTTTGAAAGTATCGAGGCCAGGAAAGAAMGTGTTTGTGAGAAAATGACTGTCATGATGTTAATCTTACATACTTCCGGTTGGGCAAAATAGGATCTATAGTTTTTATCAATAAAGTTTTTCTTTGAATACAGTCATGCCTTGTCATTTACACAGTGGCTATTTTAGTACTACAACACCAAGTAAGAATTTGCRACGGGAGGTGGGGGGGTGGGGGGACAGAGAAACAAACAAAAAAACACACAAAAAAACTTCAAACCCTCAAAAGAAGTAGCAAACTGAAAAACACATAAAGAAAACATTGAAGATTGAGAACATTTATCTGATCAACAATGAGGGTGTTAAGCTTTACTTCATTTCAAAAATATAATTAATAGTAACTACCATCAACATAAATATTGGCTGTTTAATGTTATATTAAACATCACCATGCTTTATATTGATATTTAACTTTTTAAAAGCAACATTTTAAAATAATAATTCAAAACTACAGTCTATATCTTTTCCTCTGACTTTCATCTTCTTTAATAACTATATCATTGGATAACTACTCTTGCCTAGACGCAAACACATACATACACACAAATCTGATGAACTCACTCATTCCCTTTCTTTTTATAAGAATGAGCTCATGTACTTCTATTGAACTACTAAAACTTTTGGATGCTAATTTTTTTGTTGTTGTTAATCTTCCACAAATGTTTCGTAAACATACAGGTTTAGCTGTAAATCTGGAAACACTGATACTCAAAAGATTTTTAAAAAGCAATTAAACCACATGTCAAATCACTACACTACAACTTCATAATGAGAATCATGTAATGCCTAGAATTCTATCAGCTGCAGAAACTGGTTGAGGTACTTATTTTACTGACTCATGTTTGGAAATATTAAACATGTGGTAGGTAGATGATCTCCTTTCCTCATATCAGATTCCACGTGTGTGGGCTGAGAATATAAAGAGAATAAGAATGACAAAAACATATGTCTAGACAGGCCTGGTGGTGCAAGCCTATAATCCCAGCTACTGGGGAAATTGAGTAGCTGAGTAAAGAGGAGCTCTTTGCAACCAGCCTGGGCAACTTAGTGGGCAACTGTCTCAAAAAAAAAAAAAAAAAAAATTGGAATGTACCTCAATGGTAGAGCACCCCTGGGCTCACTTCCCTCTATAGCAAAAAAAACCCAAACCAATCAATTAAATATATACTACCTCCTTTTTACACTGAAAGGGGTTATAACTCTTAGTCATCCTCAAAACAAGACAAATGACAGACTAAAAGAAGAAATTCTTTTTTCATAAAACATTCAACCATTCTACATATACACATGTACAGATTTAGCATGTAAGCCCTGCACTTGGACTGAGGCAGGAGTACCACCTGAGCCTAGGAACTTGAAACCAGCCTGGGTAGGTAACATGGAGAGACACTGTCTCAAAACAGAGAAAAGAGGAAAGAAGGACCAGTGCACAGGGATACGTGTACAAAGAGTTAATTTYGTTCAACAAATTACTAAAGTTCAAAAATTATGTCCATAGTAAAGAAAAAAATGTTTGAATTTTCAAAAATAACAGGATCATTAGTACAGAACTTAAGTAGGTATATTTAAGCCATAAGAGTATGCATTAATCAACTTTATAACAATTTGTATCAATCAATAATTGCCGTTTTGTGGGAAAGTGAAATTTTCAAAAAAAATTAAAATAAAGACACTTTAAAATACTTTATAGCAATTAGATAAAATCAACTAAGTATACACTGGGGTTTAAACAAGATTTTCTGTTTCAGAAAACAGAAAAAGAATGTGTTCCAATTCATTTCAAAAGATCTCTATAATAAATAAATAAAACAACACAAGAAATGAAACAATAGGATAATGACAGTTAAAAATCTTTTATAAAATAGACATACACTTGATAATATCTCAAAAAAATTGTTTTAACTCAACACACAGAAATTAATACATTAGAAAATGTACAATTATATCATCTAGTTAGAAATTAAAGAAAAATTATAAGTAGAAAGAATTCAGTAAATTTTAACACTCATTTAATATAAAAAGTCTTTACAAAATAATAGGATTAAAAGAAAAACACGTTGACCAAGGTTTTGTTGTCAGATAAAGGTTATCGATTCAAAACCTACAGCGAATGCACATTCCTTTTAAAGTCAGAATGATCCCTATCAACAGGATTTATTTAGCATTATACTAGAGAACTTTATCTAAAATGGTAATTCATCAAACACAAAAGACATAAAGACTACAAAAAAGTGGTTATTATTTATAGTAAACATAATTAACTATGTAGTAATCATGACAGAGTACACCAACTATCAAAATAAGAAGAATTTAGCAAGGCTGCAATCAGCAAAATCAGTTGTGTTCCACATATCAAGTGTCAAACAACTAGAATATGTAATTCAAAAAAGATCCATTATTTGTAACAAAAACAACAAGTATAAGTTTTGGGGGAAAAAATTAATTTTTAAAAAAGGCACAAGATATTAATGAGAAAAATACTTAACTTTATGGAAAGATGAAAACAAAATTATGTAATTGTCTTAACTGAGCAAACTCAGCAGATCAATCTGTTATTTCTTTGGAAAAGAATCTACAAAGTAAATCTACTTCTAATAAAAATTCCTCTAAGATTCTCTGTGGGAGGGGATTGGTGTATGTGTGTAACATCACAAACTGACTCTAATATTCACATGGAAGACACAAACCAAAAAGCAGCCAAGGCTTTTCCTCAAGGAGCAAGGCTGAAATACTCAAGAAATACTAGCAATATTGAAAACAAAACAATACGAAGCAAAAGCAGCAAATGATAGACTCGTCAAACAAGTTGACATGTATAGAAACGTGGCATATGACAGAGATATCACTAGAAATCTGTGGGGAAAAGAATGAATAGGCACTAACACAWGTGTAGAAAGCACTGGTTATTCATTTACAAAACCAAATCAGTGACCTACTTTGTATCCAAATAAAAAGTGTATTAAAGACAAAMGTAAAAAGGCAAAACAGATGCCCAAGGGAAAATTTCTTAAATAAGATACCAAAATACCAACCATAAAAAACAGATTAATAAATATGACTTCAGTATTATGCAGTAAGACACCTTATGAAAAGTTAAAAGAAAGCAGACAGAGAAGTGTTTTTAAGACTATATAATCCTCAAAGAATTAGTGTCCAGAATGCATAGAAGTACAAAGAAATAGAAAAATAAAAGGTTGTAGACGATGAATTCACAGGAGAGACACCAAAACAGGCAAATAAACACATTAAGAAAGAATCAAAAGCATTAAGTAATCAGGGGAACTGCAAATTAATAAACTAATGGGATCAATTCAAACTCATTAGATTAACCAAATTTATGTCAACGATGAAATGTTAGGAAAATATTGTAATGCCTTATTGCTACTACCTACTAGTGAGAATGTAAATTTGTTAAAAAAAAAAAAGGTTAGAGAACAATTTGGCATTATTTAGTAAAGCAAAAATGGGCATGMTTTATCACTCAAAAATTCTATCTCAGAATGTGTGTACGTATGTTTCCAAAGGCACACATATTAACAAGATATTTTAAAATTTCACTGCAATTTTCCTTGTTTCAGTGCAGAAATAGAAGCCACTGAAATATCTATCAATACAATAATTTTGATGTATTCTTACACCAAATAAAAAAATAGATATATACATATGTATATACATAGCATGTATAAATTAAAAAGTGGTAATAAAAAATTATACAATCATATTTATAGTGTGAAATCAATGAAAAACTTGGGGGAAGTTACTATACATACACATCTATAGTGCAAAATTAAAAAAAAAAAAATACTGGTAGGCTGCAACAGGAGGACTTCTTGAGGCCAGGAGTTAGGAGGCCAGCCTGGGCAACACAGTGAAACCATAAATACATACATAAGAAGCTTAACAGTGCTAGAAAATAAAGTAAGGATGATAATTCACCCCCTTTTTATCTGATCAGAAATGAGGAAACCAGAGAACTTCTACATTATCTATGATTATAGTTTTTCAAAAAAATGTGAAATAAATATGGTAAAATACCATGATGTGGCTCAGGTGGTGCACAGATGTACCATAGTATCTATGCTATCTGTACTACTGAAATAATACATGCCTTATTCAACAGATTTCTGGAAGTGAATACACTTGGTTCATAGGAGAGCCATTCAGAGTCTCACAGCTAACACTGCAGACAGAATTTTAATATATTTCTCTGTCATGTTTTTYTCCAATTCATCAGAGAGTACTGGGTTCAATGAGATGAAAACGGAACAGTACCCAGGAGCTGACCTCTGTCAGGAGACCTGCAGGGTCTTAGTAGGAGCTGCTCTGTTGACCTGGGCTCCAAGGTGAAAGCATCATGGAGTTGGATAGAAGACAACAGGAAGCAGGGCCAGAGCCCATCCTCAACAAGCTGCACAGCATGAAGAGTAAGTCTGTTGTTGTGAGCTCTGTGACTGTGGGATTTCCAATCACCCTAGCTACTAAGACCATTCTGAAAATAAGTGAAAGGAAATTTTACAACAGACAGATCAGGCCACTAACACCTTAACTATCTAATTGATTTTATAGTCACAAGCAGAAACAAGTGTTAAGTGYCTCATGATATGATGCCCTAGAAAGTTCCAGAGGAGAAAATACTTAAACCTTGCCTAATTAAGACTCTAGAACTAGGGCTGGGTTTGTAGCTCAGTGCCGGAGCACTTGCCTAACATGTGTGAGGCACTGAATTCGATTCTCATAACCACATATAAATAAATAAAATAAAGGTCCATCAACAACTAAAAAAATATTTTTAAAAAGACTCTAGATCTAGATCTGCAGGGCAGGGCAGATATAGATGCACACCTATAGTTCCTGCTACTCACACCTTAGTTCCAGCTAAAGCTTAGTTCCAGCTAAAGCTGGAGGATCATAAGCTCGAGTCTAGTCTGAGAAATTTAGAAATCCTGTTTCAAAATTTAAAAAAAAAAATGTGTGTGTGTGTGTGTGTGTGTGTGTGTGTGTGTGTGTGTGTATGAAAAGGACTGGGAAGGCAAATAACTCAGTAGTAAAGCACCCCTGCTTCAATTCCTACTCACATACACACAGGACTCTACTTCTGATTATGGGTATACCAAGCATAGTTACATGGTATTCTGGGAATGAAATAAGCCAAATCTAGAATGTGGGAAATTCTACAGGACAACTCACCTACCTGATTTATTTTACAAAAATAAAAAAGTGTTAAAAAAATAAAAGAAAAAGAAAAAATCCAGTGTTTTAGTTAAAAGAGACTCAATCTCTATATATTACATGAACTTGTTTGAAATCTAATTCAAACAAAGCAGGGATCAACACATTTACAAAAGTCAAGTAAACATAAACATATTTTGTCATTATTTGAACCTATTTTTGCTCATTTTTTTCAATGTGATAACAGTACTGTGGCTTTTGAAATGATATGGGATACAAAATAAGTTTTTCACAATGATAGGAAGCTAATATTTGCTGTAAAACAATAAAATAGTGAGAAGAATAAATGAAACCGTATTAGCTACATGTTGTTGAAAGCAGGTAATAAAAATTTTTGATCAAAATTAGAAACTTTTGCTCTTCACAAGATAATAAAAAATTAAAAAGAAAAGTTATATTCAGAGGAAAACATTCAGAATACATGTTATCTGGCAAAACATTTATACTAAAAACATATAGAGAATCCTTATAATTCACTAAGACAAACCCAACTAAAAATGAGCAAAAGAACTGAATAGTCACATCATTACATCATTAAATTTGAAACATATATGTTTAATTGCCAATAAACACAGAAAAAGAAGTTATTAATGAAAAATTAGTTTACATCGTAAAAATGTAAAGTAAACCCACAATGAGTTATTACTACAAGCCACTATAATGGCTAAGATAAAAGGCTGCTAAAATTGGTGGTGAATAAGAAGAACAAGTGGAACTTTCATATGTTGCTGATGGAGATTATTGGGGGAAACAGCAGCAAAATAGTGGAAATAAATCAAACACTTAAAAAGTTGAATGAACATGCTGGGGTGTTGTGTCTTTGTAATAGAATAACACCCAGGAATATAAGAGACTGAACTACTGACACTCCCTCTACATGAAAAAATCTTAAGGGTATTATTCTGCATAAAAGATGCAAGATCCAAGAGTTCACACTATACAACTCCATCCAACTGAACATCTTAGAAAAAACTAAACCATGGTKACAGAAAGCAGATGACAGACAGCCCATCCTGGGCTGATGAAGGAGCTGATTTTGGGAGTAATAAAAATGTTAACCATGTTGATGATTATATAGGTTTATATTTTTTTGAAAAAACTCATCAAACTGTAGAGATTTTAATATCCTTATTATATTTCAAAGTGAGACTATAAAATGTCACCATCAGATACAATTATGCCACTTTTATGAGGTCATGTATTATAAGGGTAAACCACGCTAAGGATTTAAAGAGAAATTAGTAGGGGTGAAATCAAATTGTTTAATAATTTAAAATATTATAGCCAAGCCCTAAATTTAAATAAGGGCTTCAAGAGAGTGAGGACACAAGGGAATTAATAGCCTATTTGGGTTTTTATATCAAAAGCAACAATGCAAGTTCTAGGAAATAAAAGTTCTAGGAACTTTATTAGAATATGTAAAATCACTTTCATATTAATAATTTTTGAGTAGTTATCATAAGAACAGTAAATTCTAGGCATTATTTGAGGGATGTCAGTAAAATGTATACTACATTCTAGAACAATCTCTACACATAATGTTTCATAAAATTAAAAATTAACAAGAAGAATAATCCTTTAGAAAATTATATTTCATTTTTTGGAGTATATCTCAAACTGAGACATATAACAATGTGTCACACATCTGAAAGACTAACTAGAACTTCAACCTTCCCCTCAAATTTTAATGCACACTGGTCAAAAGCAGAAAAGGAAAACTTTAGTTCAGTTTCATTCTTTTTTCTATTTCTAGCTTTTTYAAAAATAACTTTCAAAAGATTTAAGAAAACAAATTGAGGTCATAATATGCATGTCCAGTAATATTTTCCATGACTTATCTCTAAGATAATCAAGTCTACATCCTGCTGTCCTTACAAGTCACTGGAAACCTTTGAAAAGTATTCTTCAATCTTTATCTTAGGAATTTTATTAGATCAGTAATTTAAATTAACCCTTAAAAACAATGAAAGTTTTTGACAAAGAAGGGGAGTTTTATTTTCTACTAAGGCTCTGCTAAAATATCCCTTTTCTCATAACTACGTATTCCAGATCATAATGGACCAAATTATCTTGACTTCATTTACTTTGAAGGTTTTTATTTTTATTTTTACTTTTTTGATTATCTACATGACATTACAATGCTCTTGGCAATTCATACATTTGTATCATTGGGGTATCATTTCTCATTTTTCTAATTGTACAGATTGCAGAATCACACTGGTCATAGAATCACCTATATGTTTTTAAGTGATTTATCATTCCCACCCTCATGAACAAGTGATTTTAATATTTCATTTCTTTTGAAAATTTCACTTATTTAAAATAAAGTTCTAAATTCAAATCAAACTGTCAAAATTTGTCTACTTTTTCTATTACATTTCTCCTCTATATTTTTTAATAGAAATTCCTATGAAATAAATAAGCACAGACAGGCAATAAGACATGGTAGCCCAGAGAGGAAGACTTAATGAAGTCTGCTAATGAAGTTAGCACTTCTTGGGGGAGAAAGAGTAGTGTGTGTCCCTTCTGGGTTTTTTGTTTGTTTTAATATTTATGCTTGAGAAACTTTTTACCTTCCTAAGGGATATACTCATCAAATTATCAATAATTCTAAATGGTTAAAACTAAATTAAGAAAATGTTATTTGTGTCAAGAATTCCGATCTCTCATTGGCAGTATTTAAGTTCTAAATTATGCTTTAAAACTATCTGTAGCTCTTTGAAACCTATAAAACAAGGACATTCTGCATTATGGGAGATGTAGTTCATTGACCATTTTTACCTGAAAGCAGTTGTTTTTAATATATTTTGCTTAGGTTATGTGAGCTAAAATATTTGACTGGGAGAACACATTCTATAAAGTAATTTAAATTCATTTGGAACATATTATATAAAATGGGGGGAAAAATCACCAGTTTCATAGCAAGCACTTTCCTTACTTAAGCAATCCATATAAAGGCATTTAAGTGCTATTACACTTTTTCCTTTAATGATTTTTTCAAGGGAAAAACATAAACATAACCATAAAACCAACTTTTAAAAAACACAGGGTAGATTTTGACTTTTGCATTAATTTTATTATAGTATGATCAATAATTTCTTTTGCTAACAGACAAATAACAAAAGAGAAGTTTGACACTGGGAAATAAAAGGCTCAGAATGAAAATATCATTCTCTTAAATGTATATGTTCCAAATAAAACTGAAACCTGGCAATAAATCCACTTACCAATGTTTTCTGTGGGCATGGAGACCCTGGTTGGTTCCAAGAGATTGTCAGCTAGGACAAAAGCACCTTCTTCCAATGTGTCCAGTAACATTGTTGCAGTGTGTGCTTGTTCAGAGGAGTTCATGTGTTTCCAGGATTCCAAAGCTTCAGGTCTCAGAAGGTTGTCCACTGTGTCAACAATTGCCTGCATCCATTAGAAAACTATCATTAGTTTTGACTGCTTCTGGAACCAAGGCGATTTCCAATCACTGACTAGTGACAATTGTAATATTTATCTGTTGTGACGATATACTCTTATTTCAAGATGGAAGTACACTTGAACAATTTCTATCTGATCAAGCTGAAACACACCTGGCCATTTCAAAATAGGACTAACTGAAGATTAGCAGATTTCTACCTGATTATAAAGAGTGTGTAGAATAGTGATGCATCTCTGTTTATACAATCCTAYCTCAATTGTTGAAGAGAAACATTAACAATCAGCAGCAACGGCTAACCTGAGACATGACTCTCGCATATGTGTTCACATTGAACAAAGTAACTCTATAATCTGAGACTAAAATGTTCTAAATGGAAAACATGGATTATTACTCTCTGGAGTAGACTAATAGTTATGCTTTAAACTTCAGCCATACAGTTTTGTTAAACGTGAACTAAAATATTGGCTAAAATTTTGCTTTATCAGATTTTGTCTACTTTATATCATTTAAGAAAAAAAAAAGCAAGGTGGTTTTAAATATTATAAGATAACTGAAAATATTTTCACTCTTCCAATTCCCTATCCAGCTAAAAAATACCTTAATTCATAGACAATGGTCTGCTTTTAAAAGAATCAGGAAAGCAAGCAAAATATTTAAAGCCTTTACTGATAATTTAAGGAAAACAGAAAAGCACAAATAAAGCCATCATAAACATCCAAGGTATTAATATTCATATGTAGGTTTAAGTTATTACCATGCAAAATAACAATAGAAATATAAACCAGACAGCTAATCAATTGAAGGTAGACTCTTATACTGACACTTGCTGTTACCTGTGCCCTAAATATGCCTTAGATAGCTGAAATGACTAAATTTATTTACTCTTCCATTTACCTACTCATAATGTGTTGTTAAGCCCCCAAATGCAAGGTTTTGATCTATTGGTATAATCACAGAAGAAAAAGAACCTACATTATATAAAGAACAACGATGAAAAATGCTAGTTTGAGGTACTGCATTGAAATGAGGAGGGGGAAAAGTTGTTTGAGGCTACTGTCAGAATAAGATTAATTAGCTTAATCCATCTTAATACCCTCGTTCTGTCTGCCTTGTGAGCCACCACGACCTTCCTGGCAGGTGGAATATACTTCCAAGTGGCGTTAAAGACTTTTTTCTTTCTCTAATGGGAGATAGAATAGTCAAAATGCTCACACTGATACTGCAGCAGCCATTAACTAGAGTGGAACAGAAATTGGTCTGCTGAGGCCAGATTCATTAGTCACCAAGAAATACAGACTGGAGCCTCTAATCTAAGTTACAAATGAATCTTCTGTCACAAAGTAGGAGCCCGCTTCATTTGCATAGTRTAAGTCAGCTTCTGATTTGTAATTTAAGGAGTTTTATTAGTCTTATCTGAACAGAGAAGCTCATTTGAGACACACTGGAAATCACACTGGTCAGAAATTAAGGTCATACTGAAATTTACTAAGTATACATGTAACTCCCTGATGGCATGCTTTATTAATTTGAAACACTCCTTATTTATTACATTTGTACTTTTCTAGAGGGATCAAAATGATCATTAGCCTAATCATATTCCAGAAATAGTCTTTTCCTGCTACAGAAGGGGTGGGGGAGATATTCTTCTTCCACTGAGATAAATGTCCTGGCAACAGACCCATTATTACATTTCAAACATTAACTAATAACTTAAAGTTGAACCGAACACCTGAGTTTGAAAAATCATATAGAATTCAGCAGTTATTTCTTTGCCCCCATTAGACAGGCTAAAATGGGACTCTCAGAACTTCACTAGGCAAAAACAGGCTCTCCCACCCACCTGTTCTTGTAAAGTTTGCAGATCCAACAATGTCTTTTACTAACTAGTGAGATGCATTCTTTTCTTCTAGATCTTGCAAACTAAAATTAGTGGAGTTATGACTTTTAAATGACCTTTTTGTTATGAAACTACAAAAATTATTATTATTTTTTTCCATCATGATATATGGATTGGCTCTTCAAGGTCTTATTTGCCATGGTAATGGTCCCCATAAGAATGAGGTCAGAAAATAACTCTGAAAAGAAACTTCTAAAATTCCCCTGAAAAGGAACTTCTAGAATYCACAGATCAAACCAAACACAATTTGGCATCACATTGATCTATCACACAGAACTAGGAAAGCTTAATTCCACTGTAAGCCTCAGCCTGCTTCCTTTTACTTGGGTACTTAAATAYACCAAGAAGGAAAACCACCTGGAGTACAGAAGTATTCTGAGCCAAGCAATGGCTCTAGCCTGATAAAAGCCAATACATAACATATACTGATGTCACTGTCACATTATTTATGTTTCACTGTTAGTAACCAATCTCCATTATCAACATAATTCTAGAAATGACCCCTAAAAATTTTGAGACAAAGCTTATTTTAAGAGTACACCACAAAGATAAGAAAGCAGTGACTTTTTCATGCACATACATTATGACTACACAGTCTTTGATATGATAAACTGCCAAGAATATATCATAGCTGTTTCACTCAAGTTGTTTTTTTTTTTTTTAGTCCACAGAAATGAAAACAAAACAAAAGAAAAACAAAACAAAACAAAAAGACTGTATGATTACTTTCCAATTCAGAGGATGTTTCATTAAAATTCTTATACTTTTGGATGAATGGAAAAACAGCAAAAATCATTAAAATAAATTATTTGCTTATTCTGAGAATAATATACCTGTGAAAAGCCAACATTTGTACAGCTGATATGGGGCACATTATATAATTATCAAAGACTGAAATACATTGGATCATGCAGCAAGATGATAAAGCGTGGCAGGTAGCTGAAGAAGGGAGAAAGCAGGGTGACAGCACAGGAGAGATACCTTAAGGTAAGCCCTGCATGTCTTCTCTCGTTTTTGGAGCTTTTAGGTAAAAGAAAAGAAAATCAGAGGTTAGATTTTATCTGTTGAAATGAGGAAAGAAGAATCCTCAAAACTTAAGCTGGTGTTCCAGAGTTCATGTTACGGTAGTCCTCTGGATGGTCCACACTAGTTGTCAAAAGTGCTTGTTTATAATATTTAGCTGCATTTTGTTAATTATACTAATGCAAAGCATGTTGACAATTTAAAAAAAAGAGAGAGAGAGAAAGACAGCGAGAAAATATATAATGTGGTCAAAAAAAGGTTCATTATTTTTTAACCTTATAGAACCACGATAGCCACAGATTTGGGGTTGAAATGAACCTAAAGTAACTATGAAATTTGTTAGAGCAATGATATAAAATTATCCTGCAGAGGGAAACCTATCCTTCACCCAAAAGCTGCCATTGAAAGGAGTATTTCAGTGACTAATGTTCCTGAGTCACAATTTTGCTGCAACCATAAGAGTTGCATGTATTGGCATACAAAGTATATCAACTGTATAACATACAATTTCTCCAAGTGCAAATAATGCATTCTTAAGGAAAAAAGAAATGTATTGACCACAATCAGAGAGATGCAGTTTGCAACCAACTAAAATCTCTTAGGTAATTCATATTATTCACACTTTTTTGGAGGGTGGTTGATGCTCTTTTCTCAACTATAATTCTTCCATGGGAAATAAACCAAAATTAGAAGTTTTGTTCCTAAGTGTGTGTCAAGGGAGCAAGAAGTTTGGCAGTAAACTGGAGCGTAGAGAGCTGCCATACAAAATGTCTTAGTTTAAAATAGCAGAAGAGTTTTTCCTACCTTGTTATAACTCCGTCCAGCTGAATCCTTTTCACTAGGTTTCAGTTCTTGCAGCTGTGCATCAAGGATGTCCACCAACTGCTCCATCAATCTCACTGAAGAACTCACATCCCCTGCAAACACTGGCCCTTTGGTATGTTTAGCCAGTTCATTGGCAAGACTAGCAGCATTTTCTCCACTTCTGATCTGAAATGACAATTTATATGATCTCAGTAATACTTTCTGTTCTGTTGTGGCTTCTAGTTCTCCTTGAGTACCTCTGTTGTGGTTTAAAAAAAAAAATTAAAAAGTCTATATCTGCAAATAATTGAAACCAATAACTTTCTCTTCATCTCAGAAGATTAAAGCCTTTTAGATCCTCAACACACAAAAGAAATTATTAACCAGACACTTAAAAGAAACAAAAGTAGAAAAATTTCAACCAGCTCTCATTGCACTGTAACCATTTTAACTTGTTATTTAAAAATCTTCTTCATTCCAATGATCTGGAATTTAAAGAGGAAGGTAATCAGTGTGATACTGAGGTTCATTATCTAGTGTTTATAATTCAGAAAGATGGGTGGAGAAGCAGAAAATGAAAGGGCACTGCCTTACACTGTAGCATTTCAGGTTACTGGTCTCAATACCTTTGAAAGCCATTTTTACTTCCTGTATCATAATAATATGTAATATAAACATCTGTTTGCATTCTGTGAATTCAGCTGCAAACCTAATAATATTGATTTATTAGGCGAATGCATTATTTGTCTTGTGAACATCAAAAGAAAGAGAACAAACTAAATATGAATGGAATTAAACAAGGGCATACTCGTTAAAAGGCTCAGCACAAAAAGCATAATACCTCCAAATATATGTAACTTTCAGTAGTTTACASACATAGTGATACATAAATTTTTGATTTTTTACTGAACAAAGAGCAATGAAGCTGGTTTTAACATACATAACTAAATTATTTATGTTAGAAGTCAAAGCCCTAAATCACCAATGTGTATCATATTAAAACGTTCCAACCCACCTTCTGAGCCAGCTGATTTACCCAGTGTGAGGTACAGTTGCTAAGATCGGGGCCCTTAGGGTTCCATGTTCCAGTGGAAACCATGCAGAGATATGAAGCAGTTCCTACAACAGATGTAGAAAACAACAGGGAAATTGAAACCATTTTTCTGCATGCATTCGGGAAATCGGCTATGATGATCCTAGTCTGTGTGTTAAATTTTGAATAAACACTAATGGGAGAAGTTGACAATAACTGACAAAAAGCAGAGTATAATGCCAATTATAAGCAGTAAATATAAACTTAGCAATAGAAATATCAGACATTTACAGCAAGCAAACAAAAAGCCCTTTGTTTTCTTGGGACTTGTCCAAAGTAATGCTTATGAGAAAGGCAGCTGCACAGGGCTTCACTAGGGTCCTTAGGCAAAGCTTGACCTGGGTTTTGAGAGGCAGAGCCAATTGATAACTGATGTTTACGGTATCAAAATACTAAAGTTATCTATAAATGCTATATTACTAAAGTAACAGAAAAAAAATAAAATCAGCTACTGTAAATATCTCTTCCTTCAAATAAAATCACTTTAGTACAATTTGAAATCTACTTACTAACTTTAGAAACATTTTATGCACGCTGTTTTACAGGAAATACCTCTTGTTCCCTTGGGACACGGCCGCTCAACCATCATTCCCCTTTGTGTCTGAGGCCACTTTATCCCCCTCGCGTCTAATGCTTCGCAGAATCTCTCTGGCAGGGGAAAAATATTTGTTACAGGAGGAATTTTGGTTGTAGAAACTGCTGGAGGTGGTTTTGTTCCCTTGCTTCCTTCCTGGGATCCAGCTACAGTTGTGCTCATGGGGCCTTTCTGTGAAGTAGTGCTTGTGGTTGATACTGTGGTTTTGAACAGCTCAGCTGAAGAAGTTATTGTCACAGCTGTGGTAGGCACTATGGAAAAAAGATGAGTGTATTAATCTCCAACACACCCTTGCACTTGTACACAGGCAGGCATGTGTGAATGTGCACGTGCGCGCGCATACACACACCCACACACACACACACACACACACACACAAACATGAACACAACCCTACCCGTCCATATGTCCCCAGCACAACCAACAGAATTACTGACAACATCAGTAAGGTGGAAGAAGAAGAAGAAATCCGTTCATTTATTTCAATTTTTTCATATTGTTCGCTAAAAGGTGGTAACCTGGATTTTACTATAGCTTTGCTTGTAAGACTTGGTGCTAGGTTTACTTCTCATTGAGATATTTGATAGTGCAGTTCCAAGTATAACTTCATAATATACCATCTAACAGGAAATGAAGGGTAGTTTATAATGTGGGAAAATTTCTATTCTTATATAAACTTGCACTCTATAAACAAATTCAAAATATMGACAAATGTCTGACAATTATATGTAGTTAAGACAATAAAAAAAGATTTAAAGTCATCCACTCTATATCTTGCAGAGAAATAAATACTGTGACATCTTTTCACCCAGCAGCCATTCTTGCTTGAGAGATTTTTTGAGCATGCCTGATTAGATTCAAACAGAAGATAAGCTTGGCATGCTTGTGCTGTTTTAGTAAGGAAATATCTCAGGCTTTGGCTTCTTTACTTTTGCAAGGTAGGTATGAAGCAGCAGCTACTTCCGGTCAGAAGTGATAATGTGACATCAAGATAAAAGGTTAGATCAAATCATAGCTAATTTGAAACCAACCCTCTAAATCTTATGGACCCTTAAAAGAGAATATAAAAGGAACTACAGCTACACAATTTCAAAGGAGAACATTTCTTTTTTAGTAAAGGCTGTTTTTCGCCTTTTGACATTACTTTCAAACAGTTAAGTCAGCCAGGTTAAAAAACAATGGAGTTCAATGTTTTCTCCATTAATTATCATTTAATTAATTTAAATGAAAACAAAAATCTGTCAGCAAAAATTTGATACTACCATTTAAATTCTGTTAAATGAGATCACACTAAAGTTTTACCAATACGTACTTAATTTTATTTTTATTTTTTATTATTTTTTTTTAATATTTATTTTTTAGTTCTCGGCGGACACAACATCTTTGTTGGTATGTGGTGCTGAGGATCGAACCTGGGCCGCACGCATGCCAAGCGAGCACGCTACCGCTTGAGCCACATCCCCAGCCCCTTAATTTTAAATTAAGAGTACAAAAAGCTAAAAATAGCTATTTAAAAATCATCTTATAAAACATTCATTGTTTCATGTAATGAATGAGAAACAAGATACAATAATACAACTTATTAGAAAAGTTCCTATTATCACTAATATATTTAGTACTTTAAACTGTGATCCACAAATATTATTTAATTCTGACACAATTGGAAGTATACTAAGTTTACCAGAAAAAGTAGTTTGTACATTTTTCCAGCTCTTTACTGATGAACTTCCTGTTATCAATAAATACACATTGTCTTCCTTTTCCCTTCTATCTCAAGAGAAACTTCTTAAGCACATGTTTCATTTCCAGGGCATAATTTATTGACCATATGAAAGATGCCTGTTTACATCACTCAAGCATCATGCCCAGCCAGCTGCTGCAGAAACCTATTCAAACCTGTCTATCTTTCTGTAAAGCACTTCCCTGACATCTTGTTAAACCTCTGTAATTTTCTTTTGATTACAATGCAGCTAGGCTTTCAGTGCTTTCTCAATTAACATTTGTCAAAAGCATCACAATCTTTTGCAGAAGCGTCAAATCASTGCTACGGAATCAAGTCTTAAAGGGGAAACAGGAACCAGAGCAAAAAGAGAAAAGGGCAGAACAAAATGGTTTAGTGTTATACCATCTATGTATTCCTCGACACTGTACTAATTAGTATACATTTAGTCACTGAAATATGCAGAGCAGTGGTTTGTTGGATCACCATCAGTAAAGACTCATAATAACTGAGTCAAGGCAGATAATAAAATGATCTCCATTAAAAGCAAAAAATGTCATGCAACATCCTACAGCCATGTTTCCATGCATTCCTTAGGTCSATAGATTTTCACCTTTTGACCATGAAAAGAAGACTGAAAGGAATCAACACAGTCTTCAAAAGTAAATGAATAAAATATTGGGATTTCATCAAAGTAATCTTTAAATGACAAAACTAAACCCTTTAGAGGCAAAGCTAGTATTCTAGAATTTTCCAAGATTGGAATTTAGTAATACTCAAAGGAAAGAAATTTTTTTAAAAATGTTTTAAGCTAGAAATGCAGCTTCCACAGGTGGAAAAAAAAAGTCCCAGAAGGGCATCTGGCAATGATAAAAGTTTACACTTATTCAGCATTTATGTGCCAGATGCTGTGCCAATCACCATTAATGGATCAACAGATCACCTTATTTAATCCCTACCACACCCCCATGAAATAGACACAAAATTATCTTCCTTTCACAGATGTGGAAAGTGAGTGATGGGGAAATTAAATGAATTGTTTATGGTCACATGACAGTCCTCTTAAATTCTTCAATCTTATGTTTCTAAGTAAAAGATTTTCATAGACTCTGAAAAATGTATGGCATCTGTCAAAGAAACTTACCCTTATTTTTTTACACGATTTTGTGTAAATCTCCAAAATAACAATAATTATATAATATATAAATTATAGATATAATATTTGAGAGAAGATAATTTAAAAACTCGAGCAATCAATTTATGAAATTTACATGGCAAAAGGTTTAAAGCTCAAGAATATCCTGTGAGTAGCAGGAAACATGACATTTCACAATAGCATTATAACTCAAATCCAAATCCTTTTGTACAAGGCTGTTTATCATAATACCATATCAAGCATTCGTATGAACTGACTCAGCATTCTGGCCACCCTTTGTCATTTGACTACTGATACCTGAGACACAGTGCTAATGAACACATTTATTTACTTGCCCATGAAGATTTCAACAAACATATAGAATGGCTCAATTTACTATGGTAGTATTTACCAAGAGCTTGTTATTTATTACAAGSTTCTTTCTGTACCAAAGACTTGGAGGAAATACCCATTTCTGCTAAGTTAATATTCCCTTTACCAGGGTCCAACAACTCACCCATTGCTCACTCATTGAATGAACTCCAGCTAGAGTGAGTCTGTAGCCTAGTAAGGCAAAAAATGAGCATGAGAAAATGTTGACCATTTCCTAAGTAATAAAACTGGCTCCCTTGCTGAAAATTCTCCCTCATATCAGGGGAACATTTTACTTCACAGTCTGAAACAAATATTCCACAACTGCCAAAACTCAAGAAAAGATACAATGTTTTGTTAATAATATTGGGGATATCCAATTTGTAGAAAGACGTAAGTAAATAAGAAGCAATTCAAATTAACAAATGGAAGAGTTAAAATAGGACTAGATAGGGTTTTTCCCAAGCTCACTTTAGAGAGAGAGAGAAAGGAAATCAGAGTTTTAGTGAAATGAAGGAAATGAACTATAAAAAGACAAAATAAAGCTAAAAATCAACTTTAAAAATATCAGGATACAAATAATTATGCTTGTACTGTCAGGCATAAAAAGGTTTGGACTAAAAGTGGAGAAAACACTGAAATGGATACACAGCAAAGAGAACGTAATGAAGAAGGAAAGAAATAGATACTTCATATAGCACTTACATCTTGACCACATACATGGTAGCATAATCCACCTCTAGAAGACTTTTAGGTGTGAATTTTAACCAAATTAAGTGAATCAGTGCTTTACTGATGGCAAAGACCTAATTTCTGACTGTTCTGTCTTTTGAGTTTCTTAGATCTTGCTTCCGGAAAGCTGACAGTGGCTTATTGATTTGACCTAAATCTACGGGCCAGAACAGTCCTGCACAGTCCCACCTATGGGCATATAGATAACCCACATCCTGCAAGACAGAGACCGGAATCTCTAAAAGCCTATGAAGAAAAACTATAAGGAAGGAGAAAATAAGAATATGGGTCAAACATCAGCATGAGAAATTTAGGTCAGATAAAATTCTTTATTACTTAGGGTTTAATAAGGGGTCAATATGAATTTTTACATTCTGGGAATACTTAACTATGGTTATTTTGGATGATAAAACACTATTGTGGTAATACAAACTTCCTACACATGTCTAAGCTACTCATTTTCAAAGGTTGCAACTGCTCTTTCCAAAAAAGCATCTAAATTATCAAAGATGTTTTCATCTCAAATGCATCAACGTATTGACTAGAATACATGCCACATGTGGAGAAAGACATGGTTACTCATCCTTGTAAGGATGAAGAAAGTTGTGACAAGTAATGACTCTTGGTTGAACTGAATCTACACTAAACTTYATTCACAATCCTTTGGGTGTTGCCTGATTAGGAATTTGCGGTTGCTAAAGCCTTTTCTTTGCTTTTCTTCTCCTAACAAGGTGAAAAGATTTACTGCCACCCAAGAAAAATGTAACAGTTGTCAGAGTAATGTGGATTACAAAAAGGTTAACACAAGGATCAATACGATTATGGCCCATGCCTAAAGTCTGTCAATGTCTCAAGTTTGCCTTTGAGAAACCTGTAGGATAAAGGAGAAGCACTGGAGTAGCTTTTAGGGAAAACAAAACAAAACTGAAATACTTGAAGCAAACCAAATTGCTTTCAAGAGGAAACAGATATGTATAAATTTTTTAAAAATGACTCACAGCTACTGTCAATAAACATTCCATGCTCTAAAAGAAGATTAAATGACTGAAACTTTAACAATGGACATTACTACTAATATCTTAAATGAAAAAAATCTAAGTCTACATGATTTTAAGAAAAGGGTGCCACACACTAAGTCAATACATCATTATTACTCTTATTTATAAACAAAATGCACATCTTAGAGCTCTATAAATACTCAAATTAGAAACTCAATTACAAAAAGCTGTAACTTGTTTTGAGGTCCTAGCAGTATGACAATATTTAGAACTTATTAATAGCATATCTTAAATGAATGGATATAAGTTTGTAGATGAATACATTTWTGCATATTGCATTAACAGAAAAAAAATGTTTCACCTTGTTGAAAAGATTAGTCACTCCAAAACCTTCCAGTCTCTAAAATTTTGAAGCAACTTAATTTGAAAACTCCATTTAAGTCAGTAAATGGAAATTTAATTCACATCTTAAATGCACAAATATCAATGTTCAAGTAGAAAAGACATAATTAGTGCAAGGTTCATAATAATACATTAACAGGTTACTCTTTTATCTTAAGTATGAGGTAATCTTCTTTTAATAAAGAATTCATTTATTTTATACTCAAAAATCTTTCTCATAGAAATGAATTCACTTGATCTGCCAAAATATATTTCCAAAAATGTAGCATTAATTTGTTAAGTAATGCTTGTCCACAAAGACACCCAAAGAGAACACAAATCAAAAAATGCTAACAGATCTCTCATTATAAATCATCACTTGAGATCACTTAATGCTTAGTCCATGTGTGACAGTCATAAAAATATTGATTTTAAACTGTCCTAATGTATCAGGAAATAAAAATGTGTAATTTTACATGATGAACTAGAAAGACGTTTGAGGACTGCCTCTCCCATCCAGAGAACAAGACTCCAAAACTTCAGAACACTTACACCTGGCATTGTACATCAAACCTAGTCGCTCCTCTGGGACTTCCTAACACACATTTCCTTTAACCACTGGCGCCAAGAAGTTAAAAGGTCTGCACACAGAGTATCATCAATTCAGAAGCCAGGTGAGGGAAAAAAGAAGCTAACAGGTTTGTAGCTGGTACTGTATTTTCAGCAATGAAAAACTAAACTGAGTAATGATGCTACAATCTCATAAAGCCAACATTTAAGTGAAGAAACTCAGAAAAGAAAATTGAACCAAATATACCTCCTCATATTCTTTGCTTTAACTATGAGGAGGGGAAGAAAATAAAGGAGAAAATTAATAATAAGTCTTTTACTAGTAAGTTGCTTATGAAAAACATAAGCATTAACAAGTAAGCATTCTTACCTTGGGCAGGATCAGGTGGACCAAACTCCAGAGAGTATCGTAAAATAAAGTTATTGTTCCACACGTAGAGTTGGTTGTCTCTTGGATTGTAATCCACCGCAGCAATGTACTGGTACTGGTTGGGAAAGGGAACATCTACATATTCTCCTCGGTTTAATCGGGTGTTGTAGATGTAATCGATTGCATTCTTGCCTGTTTCACTTTCATTGTCTTGATAAACTGACCTGACCACATAAAGGACTCCACATATCATAAAAGCATTTGATGCGGCACGTTTGTCATATACAGTCTCCCAGGTTGCTTCAAATCGAAGAGTGTATGGATTCAGCTGACTAATGACTATCATTCCATTGTTCTGTTCAGTGGCATAAATGACCCACAAGCCATTCTCATCAACTGCTAGGTCGATATCCGTCTTTCCTCCCCATCGGTATGGAGAGGTATCATGGTAGTTGGCATAGTTAATTATGGCCTCTCCGCTCTTAATTCTAGTCCTCAAGTCAAATTTCACAATATTCCTTGTTCTTTCTTTGTTAAAGAAGACAGCACCATCATATACCACAAATCCAGTACCATCTACTCGATTTGGAAGTTTATATGTTGTTGTTTGGCGACTGTTTTGGAAATCTTCTAAAGAAGCATACTCTATTAAAGTATCAGTGCGGTAGGGAGTCCAGGGCATGAAATAAATTTTATCTGCAGCCTGAAGAGGGTCCTTGCACCAAGCACCTGCCTTTTGTTCAGCTTCATATATACATGGGGAGTCCACAATTGCTTTCAAGGTCCCAGGGCACACAAAAACTAACAGTCACAGAGAAAAGACAAGAATTAAGCCAAGTTAAAAAAAAAAATTACACAGGTAATCACAAAGTTCTATTGATCACAAAACAAAAAAGAAAAATTTGTTTTATTAGCATTTAATTTTACCAAACTTTAAACTTAAAACAAGCACTACCATTCTTTTCTGAAGTGACCATAATCGAATACCATCCCACAAAGTGGTCAGGGTTTATTTTCACAAACACAAACCTATGTGTAAGATCATTCATAATTGAACTGAGAATTTAAGTTTTGGGTGGGTTTTTGCCTTATAATTTGGTAATAAATGGTTTAAAACTTTGAGCTTATGCATCAAATATTTTATTCCAAACATTATACTCTCCAACCCCTTGCCCACCTATAAGCCCCCCAAAGTAAAACTACAAAATAAGAGAAATAAAACAGAAAACCCATTGTGAAGACTTATTTAGAACTTTTACAAAAGTTAAAGGTGCTTTGACTTAAGGAACATAAATATTCGGAAAATGCAATTAGGAGCAGAGAAAAGTAAATATAAGGAAAGCAGTGATGAACGACCAGGAGACCCTGTAACCATGGCATGCTATGAGAGGGTTCTGGAAGCCAGGCAAGATGACACTTCAATAACAAGAAAATATCCAAGGGTGTTGGGAAAAGAGACAAAAAGAAACAGAGAAAGGGCAGCTGCCCCTCGCCGACTTCAGAACTTTTACCCCATCACCAGATTTAGCAGTCACATAATTTCATTGTAAACAGTCGACTTCTTTATGAGGTGCATTTATGAGATCCTGCTGATTATTTTAATGTAGGAAGGTCGTGGGAGAGGGGAGGGAGGAGGTTAACATCCATAAGGCACATAACAGGGAGCTGGGGTTCAGACTGTATACGTTATTTACCTTTTTGCTCCACTTCTATTTTAAGCATCGGAAGAAAAATAAAAAAAGGTGCAAGGAAAAAAGAAAGAAGATTAAAATAAATTGACTATTAGTCTAAGACTGAATTCGTAATAGATGCTAAATATAGGAAGAATAAGTTGTTGTACTACTTTGGATAAAGAGAAACACACACAGGAAAACCTAGCAGGAGAAAGATTCTAAAGTTACATAAAAGAACATGGATCAATCATTTTAGTAGATTAAGGAGGCAATACAAATATGCTGGCATGTTGCTTCACTTAGTGTACCTGAATAAATAATGAAACTCTTCACTAATGCAAGCTATACATACTCTTGCCTCTCCAAAGTCACTCAGCATTCTTATTAAGATTTTCTTTACATATGTACGCTATCGACATAAATGCATGCACAGGTGTACCATCCCCATTTATCTTACGTGAACTCAATTATTAAAATGACTAAAATTATAYAACAACAGGAAAATACATTTATAAAATGCCATTTTGATTTTGAATTTTAGATCAAATTTAATAAATAATGATATGGTAACATTTTATTCAAAGATATTTATATAAGAAATACATAATTATGTACCTCAGTACATATTTCAATTGTTTTTCTATTATCTTCTACTCCTAGAAAAATTAATCATAAACATAAGAAAGATGCCTCCTTTTCAGGAATATTATCAATCTCCCCTCAGCCCCAATAGGGATTGTGAAGGGTGAGGTAAGCTAGTACCTTCTTACYCATTAAGGATTAGTAAAATTATGTATTTAGGTATATAGACTTTATATTACAAAATTCTTACTGAATTTTCTATATCACARATATATCAAACTTGTACTACTAAGTCTATAAAAAAAGTAAGCAAAATACATACAAGGGAAAAGCAAGCACAGTAGGCAAGGAGAAAAAGGAAGAAAGAATTATGGTTAGCTTATTATGACATTTTCCACTTTCATTAATTTACACAGAAAGCAAGCCAGCATGCAACGACAATCATACCAAGCATTCAAAGCAAATACCTTGACTCCACAGACCCCATAAAAGGTAAATGCTTTCATAAAACAAACCTGATTAGTATAGTTATATGAGGTTGAAAAAAAAATAAAAGAAACAAAACCCCTACAAATTTAAAGAAGTGGATTATATACTTAGGAAGGGTGCTATATAAGATCCTTGTTGGTAAATAGTGCTCTAATAACTAGAAACCATAAAGTACTATTTTAAATGTATGTAGGCTTTGAAGTATGTTGCCTGAACTTCATAAAAATGACTAGACTGATGCCTATGTTTCTCCCTCTTCCCATGCTAAAATGCATTAGGGTGTGCTAATACTAYATCTCCAAACTGATTACTCAAAGAAAGTGTAGTATTATATTAAGTGTTCTTGATTTATTTTTTTAAATTATAATTATTTGTTAGGATTAAATTTGAACTTTTTAAATACCTTTGGGAGAAACATATCACACAAACATTTGTGCCACAGAAACAGCATATAAATTTCTACGTTAAGTCACAACTTCCCCTAACCAATTTGGTCTTAAATTTAACCACTTTCAGGAAACATACTTTTTCTATAATGTGTGATTCTGACTACATCTGGTACACAGGAGAGATTCAGTGTTGCTGTCTTGGAAACAATACTTGTTTATAAACCACCTGTCCTAAAATGGTTCTACAGTGAAGAGCAAAAATATACCTGCTTAGAATCATTAATAAAAGGGCATGGTAGAAAAATGGTAAGAGAAATCATCAGTGTTGTGAATTCTCAGAATATATTTATACACAGCTGTGTTTTTATTCCTAAGGAAAGGAAGAGTTTACTAAAATAAATCAATTAATTTTATTCATTTGATACATTTTATTAAAATGACAGTGTAGTTACTGAGAAAAATATCATACAGAGAAATCTTAATTTACTTGTGATATAACTACTATCATTTATTTGAAAGGAAAAGAAAATGGATATGAATTGTCTTCAATTTACAGCTCTGGTGAAAACTGGGAAATAACATCCAAATGTAATAATAAAAAAATAACTTTGGATGATTAACGAATCATGTAAGATATAAAATTTTAAAACAAAAGACAATTCCTACATAATGATTTTTATGAAAACCCAAAGGATAGATATGTTGAATCAGCCAAGTCTATCAACYAGAATATAAAAATAATAAAATTAATGAAATCAGCAATCTTTATCACATGCCATATACTGAAACTTGTCTTAAGAGGCTCTACTAATTAATTCATAATGATACATTTACTTTTCTATAGACCAAACACACAAGTACATGATCCACTGACATCTCAGTGGAGGACTACACAGATACACAAGACAAGAATTTACCCAAACTAACTGTAGCCTACATACTCTGTATCTGAAGTGACACACTATTTCATTTTGAACAATCTCACACTTATTTATTAGTAATGATTAGTCAATAGTAAAGCTATTGTCATTCTCATTAAATATATCTCGTATCTAACATGGCATCATTATCATGTACAATGGAAATTTGAAAAAAGAGGGTACCCAAATGAAAAACAGATACTACCCATAGGATGCAAAATCCCAAACTGCTTACTCTCCTTTATCCTCCAAGATCCTGGAACTTCTTTTAAATACACATATATGCAATTTGTAACAGTTGGTCAACAACAAAGAATGCCTTATATACATGCATTGTTGGTGCAAAGGTTATCTGGGCAAGTACCAAAGTCACATATTATACATGTGCCTGTTTATAAACAAATTAAAATGAACAAAAACAACAGTATTTCTAATGCTATCTGATGAGCAAATTTATTGTGAATTTTTCATAAGTCATGAAAAATTTCTGAAATTGATTTTTGCTAGAAGGAAACAGTTTGGGTATAAGGTCCTGGAGGATACGTTTTAGCAGAAACTGGCATAAAGCCAAGTGAAAACAAAAGGGAATAAATGTGATATGATTTCACAAGTAAGTGTGAAATGGGGATGTAAGTTTTTCAAAATACAAATACACTTTTTAAAACAATGAGAAAATAAAAGCTAGATGCTTAAAATAAAAGGAGGTATGAGCAATGGATATAATAGCACAACATCCCTCCCTGCCAACAAAGGGAACAAAGCACAAAAAATAAATAAGTAAATAAATGGAGAGGAAACCAAGAAAGAAATATGGAAACACATGGTCCTATATAAGAATTAGAATAATCTAAAAAGACCTCTTGAATTTAAATAGTAGTTAAGTTCACATAATTTATAGTGTGTCACTACTGTACGGTATATAGGAATTGTAATTACTTCTATTCTTTAGCAAGGAGTGCTTTAAAATAAAAAGCCATAGACTTATTGCTGCCTCGTGCAACATCTAGAAAAGTAACAGCAAATTATTTACTGTGTTTCTTTTCATTTTAAATGACAAAAACTAAAAAGAACAAATACTTCTCTGAATATAGCTATTTGCAAGTTTAGTGCACAATGTACAATACTTCTGGAGAACTGAAAAAGTAAAATTTTGAAAGTTAGATGTTCCAGAAGATATCCACATTTTCCTTTCTTTAACAGCGCAAGAAATTACTTAAGAGTCTGAAAATAATATTTGCTTAACACTGTTCTTGGTCTATAGACTAGATAACAGGAACTGGTTCCAGAAAGACACAATTCTTGGCAGCTCTGACTGATTCCACTGTTTGGGAATGGATGCTGTATTCCTTCTCTAATTTGAGGRCAGAAACCATGCTGAATTCAAGTGAAAGGGACTTTATGGAACAAAATTTTGGTTAGCTCAAAAGAATACAATGTTCCTCTAGTGGCACAGGAGAATGATTATATAAGCCACCAACACTACACACTGGAGAAATGATATAGAGATCAGTGCACTCAGTAGGCTTCCAATCCTACAAATGGTATAGAAAATACTGAAAACATAAAAAAAAAAAAAAAAAGCATCCATTTCACAGTAACACAGGAACACAGAGCAGGGATGAAAAGAAAAGATAATCTGTGTTTGGCCTTTAAATGATATCACAAAATGCCAATTTATCAAAACTGGCAGAGAGGACAGAGAGAGTGCCTTATATGTGTAAGGATGTGTTACCAACACATTAGACACAGCATACCTATCTGGGTTGTTTTTGGTTTGCTTTTTTTCCTTTGAGACAGGGTCTCACTGTTACTCAGCATAGACTCAAACACCTGGCCTCAGGTGAGCCTCCTGCTTTAGACTCCCCAGAAGCAAGAAATACAGGCATGCCACCACATCTGGCTGCAAATTTGTTTTTGTTTTGTACTTTTTTTTTTAAATGGGAGAAAATGTGTAAAAACTTTCTCCAATCAGTAAAAGTTCTCCTGTAACACTTTTAATTCAAATACTTGTGAACTAATAATGACATGACTTACCCCTTTTCACCTTTCCCAATTTAAAAAGTAAATAGACAACTCTATCAAACTAGCTTGTGAAAATYGGGAAATATATTTTAAACTTTTAAGTTGTCTAATATGTTGTTTTTTTTCTTCCCCCTACTGAAAGTGTAGGAATATTTGAAGGAAAACTATACAGCATTAAAGTATAAATAAGCCAAAGCCTATYGAAAAAATTTGTTTTTCAATTGAATTTCAAATATGCCTCTGTAGGATTTTAAATATGATGCTATAAAATTAAAATATGTACAAGATTTTGTTTGATTCATTTTTTTAAACATAAGATTTCATCACTGAATCTAGTAAAGAAATGCTCCCTTCAAGGACATGAATCAAAAAGGGTAACACTTGCCTCAGTTTCTGCAAGGGTAGCTTTTACAAAGTTACCACGACAGCAGGTAGCCATTCAAGTAGCTCAAGATTAAAACTGAAGTCAATTCCTCCTTTAGAAAACCATGAGCCAAACCAATTTGTCAGCAACTGGTATTGGGCAAAAGTACAGATTTCTATCTGCCCTATTGAATAGCTAATTCAAGTTTGTTTTCTGGAAAAACACTAGCCTTAAAAGCCAAACACTTAAGAACACAGACAGACACTTGGCCAGCATCACACTATGGCTTCCTTCCACACTTCATGAAGCTAATTGGAGTCCCGAGTCTGTTAGTGCTCTGCATGCATAATGGTTTTGTAGGCCATAAACATATGCTGCTTTCACATGTGTAGTCTTTCAGCATCAACGAAGAATGCCAGGGAAAGTGAAAAATATAAATTTCATACTTACTGTAAGGAACACATTCATATTGGACTTCAAGATATTTGTATGTCCCAGGACATGGATCAGGAAATACATCTGACCCAGTAACTACTATACATTGTGTTCGATTGTTGCACCTGGAAAACAGAATGAATCAAACTTGTGTGACATATTTGTTTGATTGCTTTTACATATGAAATATTAATGTAGAACCAATTTGTATTTTCTTTAAGAAACCAGAAGCATAAAACAAAAATTCAAGTGGCATTAGGTTGTGCTACATTATTAAATAATTAAAGAAGTTATATTTCCTTTAACTTTGTGAGCTACAAAGTTAGATTAGGTTACACTAAATTTTAACTATAAGCAAAATACAGCTCATAGTTCTCCATTATTACAATATTATACATTTTAATTTGAATCTTTTGACATATTCAACATGTACTAGGGGAGAAAAAGAGCTTACCAGGATACCTGCTGATATACTTAATAATTAAAATTGCAAATAATAATAATAATAACACTATGACCAGAAACATGTAATTATAAATTGAATAGCTAAGATGGAAGTTTTAATAATATAAAAACAATGTTAAAGCATSCTCAAATCCAGTTTTGTGTTCAATATTATATTACAGGCACTGTCTACACTCTTGAATACCAAGCTAGGAAATCTCACCTTACATATGATGGCCTGCATACATGACAGAATCCTTTTAAAGCCTTTAGCACATACTAAATATCTAAGCATCATTGTTACCTTCATAGATCAATGTGCTCACACTATTAATGATAGGACAATGTACCTTGGTTCTTCTAAACATTAAAAAGAATGTCAGTAACATAAAGCATAAAGTGTCCTACATATAATTCTACAGAATTTTCTTTGGTTGTCACTTTCATCATCAAAAGTCGTAGAATTGAGTCAGAATTCTAGGCAAGATATTTAAATTCTATAAACTGGTCCAGATGTTCTTTTTATAAGCTTGGTAAAGGCAAGAACTATTTCTTTTATAATTTAATTTGATTACAACCCCATAGAATGTAATGTTTGCAGGAGTTTTATTGTGTTTTCTGATCTTATATGCATTAAAAAGGCAAAGCAAGCAGAACAACAGCATTATAACAAAATTTATTTAACAATTTGAATGCCAAATATTCTATAGTGCATAAAATAACCAAACTACAAAATAACACTACAAAGAATTCTGAAGAGGTGGCCCCATTTCTAGCACAACTAACCAAACGGCAGTAGAAGCAGAATCACGTTAAGAGGGTGGATATGTTAACTCATGCACCTTGATGTCATCAACCCAGAACCAAGTTGCTTCTCTTTTGAAGACAGAAAAAATGTGAAAACATTTACAAGAATAAATAAGCACACTTCATAATTCAAAATATACTATAGCAAACTTCAAATGAATCATAAATGTTAAATAAATGACAGTGAATATTGCTTGTACAAATATTAAAAATAATGATTAGCTTTCCTCTTGATTACTCTATAATACAGTGTGGCACTCATTTTCAAAACACACACAACTGTAATGTTTAAGAACATGGACGATATACATGGTGTACTGTCAGTCTTTTACAATATTGTGTTTTTTTCTCTTTATGTTTCTCTTAAATTTGTTTACTAATTTGAAGACGTTTGCCAGTGGTTCACCATTTATTCTAAATGAATTAATTTTACATGAGATATTAAAAATTGTGCTCTATATGTATAACATGAATTGTAAGGCATTCTGCTGTAWTATATTTTGAAAATTAGTAAAAAATCTACATGAATCACAAAACCTATTGTATATCCTGAAATTTAAAGAGCATGTGGATTYAGGATTTCTCTCGCTCAATATCTAACGTTTCAATCAGTACAAAAACAGAATTCTGATGTTACATTTTTCTTCTTTCTTATATTGTACAACAAGAAGAGGTCTCACCACTTTTTTAAAGATGTTTGATCTCCCAGGAATCTTCTTCAATCAGTAACCTGATCATCATCAAAAACTAATGTCCTTTTATTCCCTTTCTTGTGTTTATTCATACCTATAGGGATCCTCACGTGATCTCATGTTCACATCTCTCAGATATGAGGAATATAAACTTCTGTATGTCAGCTATTCCTTTCATATACTCCCTCAGTATACATTTCATAACCATTCAATCAAATTCTGCTGTTTCAAATAACTTTAAAATACTATCATTGGGCCTGGGGCTATGGCTCAGTGCTAGTGTGCTTACCTAGTATGCATAAGGCGCTGAGTTCAATCCTCAGCACCACATAAAAATAAATAAATACAATAAAGTTATTGTGTCCAACTACAACTAAAAATAGATATTTTTAAAAATCACTCATTGTAGAAATTGCATAAAGTAACAATTCTACTAATGGACAAACTTGTTGTATACTTCATTACCCTTCCTTTCTCTCATATCACCAAAGTATGAGTAGGGAAAAGAGAAAAGGGCTTGTCTTCAAGATTGAAATCGATGAAGGAGAAAAAGGAAGTACACCTCAAAGATTTGAGAATCTATATCACCTTCCAAAAAATAAATATAAAATAAAGAATACATTGTAGAGTACCAAATTTTCCCCATGATCAATCAGATGAATAAATATGACTTCGATATGGAATTAGAAACCTTTTATATTCTATTTCTCAATGTCACAGTACATTTTTCAAGAAGTAAATAAGGCAGAAGCAATGCAGCTTCTCATACAATTTTGACAGAACGAGGACCAATACCATAAAATGAAAAATAACTGCCCATATATAATCTTTCCCGAACAATTCTGCATTAATCATCTTACCACAATTATGACTTAAAATTAATGTCAAAGGTGATTATGATAGTTTATGCCAACCCCATTATTTTTATTCTTTAATCTCATTGTACAAAGCATTCACTTTAATGCAGTAAATAATGTTAGCTCTGTGTCTGTTTTCTTAAGTGAAACTGAAGGGAAGAAAACTTAATGTAGTTCCTGCAAATAAAATTACATAGATTTCTAGAATTCACAGTCTTTAGTGATATTAAAAATGTCATTTTACATTTGAAAATTCACAATATAGAAATATGAAGTATGAGAAATTAATCTTGAGGAAAAACTGGGAATTTTAGGACTGAAATAATAAAGAGTAAACAAGAAAAAGGAACTCAACTGTAAAAAGAATAAGAAAACCAGAGCCATGCTTACCAGTACCTTTGTGCATGGAAATGAAACTAAGCTTTTAGAGAACCAAATTGTGAAAATAAAAATACAGACCATTTATTCCTTTGTGAATGAAGGAAATGGCCTTAAATTCTCCAATCAGAGTAAATTTGGAAACAGGAGGGGGGAAGAAATACCCAATATAATCTGTTAATGCTAAGAAAAATCTAAAAGTTCATTGACTGATAAACTGTTAGAAAGATTATAAAACTATCAATTGCTATCATTTCAAAAAATGGAGAAAAAGAAAGCAATTTCTTAGCCACAAAAGCAAAGTAAATTTCCACCAAGGGCTCAGCTTTAAGTTTTCATTCTATTTTAAATAAGATAAAGAGGCACACTAAGCCAAGAAAGGAAATGCATTCGGTGGTTTGCATTCTTAGTGCATAGTTTCTGGTGTGAATTTCTCCCTCTTCCCCCACATAAAAAGATTTTGTTATCAATAAATTTATCATTGTATTAGCAATTAAAATATCAGTATTCTCTAGAATACCATGTGGATTTGTTACTATGTTGAGAACCCACACTTTTCTAAGATGTTAAGCATGAAAATTGAGTATAAATGAGTACAAGGCAGAAGAGAAAGAACAAGGATTTTAAAACTGATAAACCACTGGTCACAATTCAAAGAAACTGCAACTATAGTTCATCATAAAATAGTGGATACTAGACATGTTTTAAACATTTCAACTTTCAAATAACTGTTTTTGTTGTTGTTGTTGTTGTTATTTTGTATTCATAAAGTTCACAGCTGAGTTGGGGTAGTTAAAACCATAGTGTTTTGCAAAGTGTGGTCTTCAAACCAGAATCAATTTGGGAGATTGTTAGAAATGCAAATTATCAGACCCATCCAGAAATACCAGCTTTCAGAAAGCCTGGGATTAGGTACCTAGTAATGGCAGTATTAAGGTTCTGATGGTGATTCTGAAGTTTGCTCAGATGATTGATTGAGAACTACTAACATAAAACATGATAGCTTTAGATGCTGTATTTAAAAATAAATTCATTGGATAAAAAAAATGTGGCATTTATACACAATGGACTACTACGCAGCACTAAAAGATGACAAAATCATGGAATTTGTAGGGAAATGGATGGCACTAGAGCAGATTATGCTAAGTGAGGCTAGCCAATCCCTAAAAAACAAATGCCAAATGTCTTCTTTGATATAATGAGAGCAACTAAGAACAGAGCAGGGAGGAAGAGCAAGAGGAAAAGATTAACATTAAACAGAGACATGAGGTGGGAGGGAAAGGGAGAGAAAAGGGAAATTGCATGGAAATGGAAGGAGACCCTCAATGATATATAAAATTACATATAAGAGGTTGTGAGGGGAATGGGGGAAAAAAAACAAGGAGAGAAATGAATTACAGTAGATGGGGTAGAGAGAGAAGATGGGAGGGGAGGGGAGGGGGGATAGTAGAGGATAGGAAAGGTAGCAGAATACAACAGTTAACAATATGGCATTAYGTAAAAATGTGGATGTGTAACYGATGTGATTCTGCAATCTTTGTAATGTTTTGAACAACCAATAAAATAAAATAAATAAAATAAATAAAAATAAATTCATATGGTTACATATGCTTGAGCTCTATAAAACTAAATACCYGTCAAATAGAAAACAAGTTATGAGTTCAAATGAAGCAAGAGTATGTAACAAAATTTACAACAGTGTGTTCTTTCTAATTTTAAACATAGGAATTAAGGGTTTTAGTTSTTCTGATTTTAAATAAACCATCTAATTATTTGTCAATTCCTGACATGGAAAGTCAAAAAAAGTACCATATCTAAGTACATGCATATATCACATATAYACCCTTTTTAACAGATAAGAGGAAAAGTATAATCCTTTCCTAAAAATGTACTAGCTAATGAAAATCTCCAACATTACCTGGATTGAATGTTTGACAATCTATAAAA